TACCTTGAGTATTCTGATAATAACATCGTTTAAATGAGTAGAGTGAGCAGGCCCCTAGCCCCCCCCCCCCCAAAAAAAAATTGAAATTGTTTAGACCCCTCCCCAGAACGTCGATCAATTACATGTATGTGTCCCCCCCCCCCCCCCCCCCCCTAAACATCAAACTCTGGCTACGGCCCTGAGAGGGAGCAACATGATTTAATAGATTCTGGGAGAAAGTTCCATAGGTCAGGACCATGGTGTCTTATGGATTTATTTCGGGTATACTAGATGAAAATTTGAGGAATTACGAGTAGGGTAAGAGTGAATAGCTTTATTCATAGTGTAAAAGTGTTGAAATGAAAGAGGGAGCATATTTTTTAAATACTTAAACATGATCAGTAAACATTGTAGCGAATTTATGTCGAATACTGTAAGGGTTTTCAGTTTGTAAAATATTGGACTTGTGTGCGATAAATAATGGTGAACCAGTACATAATACGAAGGGCTTTCTTTTGCAATAAATAAATAGAGTTGATTTTGATTTTGGCGCTGGTGGCCAATACTAAATTGCAATATGTTATATACTGTAATATCAATGAATTATAAAGCATAACAAGCGGATAACATGGGATTAATTTCTTCTTTCAAAATCATTTCAAAATTACAGTAAGTTCATTGGCTGCATGTATCTCTTTCAAAAAGTGTTTGAACTAACTATAACAATCCCATTTTTGTCTTGATGTCTTGATTTGAAATGTCTTGATTTGTAACTGTCCCTTATTACCTACGCATGTTGGTAATGAGAGACATTTGGTGATGACGTCATAAATTATTTTTTATCTTATTAATCAGTTACATCATGACCACAATTTTGTTTCCCAATAAAGAGAAGAAGTTACTAAAGAGAAAACAAAACTTTCTGTATGTGTAACATTTTTCATGTTTATGTAAATTATGGAAATGTGCTTATGGGTCTCCAATTCCCCACACCTACCCTAGTACTAGGGATTAAAGAGGGCACTTATGAGAATGGAAAATGGACACTTATTGCAATGGAAAATGGGAACTTGTCGAAGGAAAAGGGGCACGTGTCAAAATAAAAGGGGCACTTATCAGAGTAAAAGGAGCACTATTCCTATGTAAAAAGGGGCACTTTTCGGGTGCTTGAAAAAGTGGGGGGAGGGGGCACTGTGCCCCTACTCCCCCCAGGAGTGCGGCCTCTGCTGGGGAGTATTCCTACCATTATGGTCACCGTGAAGGCATAGGCATAACTAACACAAACTAACACGGTAAAGAGTTAATATTCCAGTTTATAGACTATGTACATGGCGCTATACAGGGTGGTGAAAAGTTAGCGTAGGGTGGTGAAAAATTAAGAGTGCAGTTTATCCATAGACAATGTACATTACGCTGTAGGGTGGTGAAAAGTTAGCGTAGGGTGGTGAAGAGTTAATATTCCACTTTATCCATAGACAATGTACATGACGCTAGGGTGGTGAAAAGTTAGCGTAGGGTGGTGAAAAATTAATATTCCAGTTTATCCATAGACAATGTACATGACGCTAGGGTGGTGACAAGTTAGCGTAGGGTGGTGAAAAGTTAATATTCCAGCTTATCCATAGACAATGCACATGACGGTAGGGTGGTGAAAAGTTAGCGTAGGGTGGTGAAGAGTTAATATTCCAGTTTATCCATAGACAATGTACATGACGCTAGGGTGGTGAAAAGTTAGCGTAGGGTGGTGAAGAGTTAATATTCCACTTTATCCATAGACAATGTACATGACGCTAGGGTGGTGAAAAGTTAGCGTAGGGTGGTGAAAAGTTAATATTCCAGTTTATCCATAGACAATGTACATGCCGCTAGGGTGGTGAAAAGTTAGCGTAGGGTGGTGAAGAGTTAATATTCCAGCTTATCCATAGACAATGTACATAACTGAAGGGTGGTGAGAACTTAGCGTAGGGTGGTGAAGAGTTAATATTCCAGCTTATCCATAGATAATGCACATGACGGTAGGGTGGTGAAAAGTTAGCGTAGGGTGGTGAAAAATTAATATTCCAGCTTATCCATAGACAATGTACATGGCGCTAGGGTGGTGAAAAGTTAGCGTAGGGTGGTGAAGAATTAATATTCCAGTTTATCCATAGACACTGTACATGACGCTAGGTTGGTGAAAAGTTAGCGTAGGGTGGTGAAGAATAAATATTCCACTTTATCCATCGACAATGTACATGACGCTGATGTGGTAAAGAGTTGAGATTTAAAAAAATATGTACATGACGGTGACATAATGGTGAATAGTTTCTGTGATTTGGTATTTAAAGAGTCAATGCCCCTTTTCCCAGACACGTTGCAACTAATATACAGTTTGAAGAAAGAACACACAAAGGTACGTGATGAAACATAAGCAAATAGAGCTTGAATCGTGTACCACCTTTCAAATATATAACATATGACAAATAACATTCATAGTGCATGACTTATAATTATGGTGCGGGGATATATTGCAATTCGAAAGAAGATAATAACGTTTTAATTTCTAACATAAATGAGGTGAGGTCGTAGTATAATTCTTTGATTTGCCCTTAAGTTCTGCGCTTTACCCCCCCCCCCTCCATCATCTACTCTCATTATATCCGACCACCATGCCTATTTTAATTGGTAGCCAGCCATCGTTGCATGCCTGATGGATACAATACACAAAGAATATATTGCGTGTGTGTAGTATAGCGGTTGTACGTGTACAATGCGATCCTTACACTTATCAAATTGGCAATTTTTACACATTGGATGGGCTACCTTCATCTCCGATTAGGTGTGTGAAGAAAAGCTTCACCCTCTTGTACTAGTTAGTGAGTGACAATGTGTGTAATGCATTGGTATGTATTTTGCGTGTGTTAAGGATATGGCAATTGGATTCGCTGGCTCGATACTCGGTACATGTACCGTACTGTATGCATGGACTGGGGAAATGTGCACGTCTTTGAGTGGTGTACATCCCCTGTGTTGTGTGCAATGCAGATGCGTGCGCGCTGCAGGAATCGCCAATACAAAGCAATAGCACAACTCTGCATACGCTCGTTCTCACAGCCGCCACGTTTGCACAGCCATACTCGAAACTTTCGAAAAACGTATTTTAGCACAGCAAAACGTACAAACGTATTTTACCCCCAAAAAACGTATTAATACGTTAAAAACGTACTACTTGGCATCTCTGTTGTACTTATCAACTTTTCCAGTTCATGTACATGGTATATGGTACCGTCTTTTGGACTACCATGGCGACCTGCTAGCTCTTTTCTTCGCTCTATATCTCTCTAGCTCTGTCCTTGAAATGTGCAGTATACTACCATGATTGCGAGAATTTGATGCATGCATACAGCTCGCTGCAAACTGCTTTTACCAACACGTACAAGTTACTTGTTTTTTTATATTTTGATATTGCAATCTTATGTTAATTTTGTAAACAAAAAGGAATAATTTAATACTATAGTATTAATGACTGCTTTGAGAGAAATAGTTGTTTTTATACGCTCAAGGGAAGGTTAGAATTGTGCTATTACCCGAGGCGTGCCGAGGGGAATAGCCCAATTGTAACCTTCCCGAGAGCGTATAAAAACAACTATTTCTCGAATATTAAAGCAGTCATTAATACTTTTATATGCCGAAAACAAAAGAGTCAACTAATGACACCACCTTGGCCTTTCTCTAGTTTATCTGCACGGTTATTTTTTATGAGTGTAACTTTGAGAGTAGACTAGATCTAGATTCTAGTCTAAGCAAGATATTTTTACATTTTGGGGGTGAGCCGGCCCTGTGGGGAATATGGAGAAGAACCTGCGCTTTCATATGACACCTCACTTATTGAGTATCACCTTCAGGATCACAACAGATTATAAAGGTTTGAATCTCGAATTGAAAAAAAAACTTGACCTTAACACACAACATGCATCGGGTGCGCGATCAGACACCTGGCCTGACAACTGGATCTATTTTCGTATCTTTGAGAGTAGACTAGATCTAGATTCTAGTCTAAGCAAGATATTTTTACAATTTTGTGGGTGGGCCGGCCCTGTCGGGAATATGGAGAAGAACCTGCGCTTTCATATGACACCTCACTTATTGAGTATCACCTTCAGGATCACAACAGATTATAAAGGTTTGAATCTCGAATTGAAAAAAAAACTTGACCTTTTTGCATGGTCGCGGAATGCACGTAGACTGCATAAGGAATGCATTGCGTACAATCTCTATGGAAATAATTTTAACACACAACATCGGGTGCGCGATCAACACCCTGACAACTAGATCTATTTTCGTATACAGTCTATACGTCTATGCTTTTTCAGCAACTAAACGAACATGTTTATGGATAATTTCACGTACCCTTTTTGTTGTTCTTGCTGTCAGCGAGTCTTGCATTTGATAAGTTGAAATCTTGGGAGAGATTCTTGAGCCATTTTTGTCTTGTTTGGAATTGTCTTGTCTTGTATGAAAATACCGACCAATTTTTCGCACACGTATGGTATCTTTGATCGCTCAAACCATTTTTTAACATGTAAACCTATGGGGTAACCATGGAGACTGACTTATTTTTTTAATAACCATGGTTATTAAAAATAGTGAAATGTTTTATGCATGGTTACCGAGAATTTTACAGGAACAGTTGAAGTTTATGAATGCAATTTCGACCAATCAGAGGGCTGGATTACTTAAGTGAGGTATATAAATGTAACTATCAACTACATATTGAAATCTATCAGAAAGAATACTTTCAAACGAAGATGACAGACAAATCTGAGTGTTTTTCTAGTTTCCGAGTGGTGAGTCAACACACTGATTACTGAGCTGGGAGACATTGCCAGGCATAGCGCCAGGTGGAGGGGCATAAATCAATTTTTTTTTTTTTTTGGGCACCGTGTATAAACCGCACCCCCGACTTTGAATTTTTTTCGGTGGCAAAAAGGTGCGGTTTATACACCGTTAATTACGGTTTTATCATCTAAATTTTTTCTTACATCTTTCAGTTTCTTGATGGTATCTGTCTGATCGTCGATGACCTTGGTCTTGATCTTGAGAGCATCGTTCTCTCTCTCCAGCTGTTTCTTCAGTGATAAAACCTCGGCATCCAGCGCTTCTATCCTGGCTTCGAGTCGTCCTCTATCCTGTGCTAGTGAGACTCCTGATGGAAGGATGAAAACACAATTAAAGTACAATAATTTTATTAATAACAATAATAATAGTAATGATTCAAATACAAATAATAATAAAATTGATAATAAATTGATAATTTTATTCATAATAATAATAGTAATGATCCAAATACAAATAATAATAAAATTGAAAATAGAATTGATAATTTTATTAATAATAATAATAATAATAGCAACAATCATAATATTATGTACTCATATCCAGAGCAACGAATGCTCAAGGCACTTTACAAAATATGTATGTAACAAAAAGTGATGAAAATTACATAAAAATGAAATGCACTTTTTACAAGTGCACTCATCACTCATTAAAAAGTGGGAAACTTGGTGCAGTGGTGCAGCTTCCCTCCACACCCTGATCAATATAGGAGTGTCGTGGTCGAGTGGTTTAAGGCGCTTGACTGGAGATGCGAAGGAAGAGGGTTCGAATCCCAACACGGCACTAATTTCCTGGGGCAAGATATTTACCTGCTCTTGCTACTCTCCACCCAGGTGTTAAATAGGTACCCGGTAGGATGCGACCGTCATTGTTGGTCAAACAGTTTTTGAGCGTCAAGTAACGCATAGCTGGAATGCTCCCAAGGTAGTGGAGATTGTGCACACAGTGTGCGCGGGCAAATATTGAATCCAATGACCGGGGTAATAGAATATCTGTAAAGCGCTTAGAGACATCATAGATGCATTAAACGCTATGTAAAAGCAGAATTATTATTATTATTATTATTATTATTATTATTATTATACACATACCTTGCTGTGCAAGCTCCTGTCCCCATAACTTTCGCTCCGCTTTAAGTCCTTCTACCACTGACTCCATGGCAACCAGCTGTGCAGCAAGTCTGGACTTCTCCTGTCTCAGAGCCTCTAAGATCTGGAGCTTTCTCTGGCTCTCTTCAACCTGGTTCTCAAGACTCCCGATTCTCATCTGCAGAGAGAGAAAGCCGGACATTCCAAAGTAGTCATGGTCAGAATCTTCAATAATTTGATATTTATTTAAAGATCAAGAGGGGTTAGGTAAAGGGACTGTTCCCATGTCTAAATTTTGGACACATGGCTGTCAATAAATCTATTTCTGATCTACGTTAGAACCTGGGCCTATATTCAATCCAATACTAAATATCTCTATCGTTCGTTCCAGATGGAATACCATGTTGTACTTGATTATTTTGAACATAAATTGACAATAAATTTGCCATTTCTCGTCACATTCAGTCTGATCTGAGCTCTAGTAGGGCTAAAAACTCAATACACTGACAAAATAATACACTAAAATCTTAGACACGGTTGGCAATTACATACAGAACACCCTTTTATAAACGTTCTAATTTCTTCAATTTATAAGTCAATGATACTGGTGTGTTGGCTCAGTCAGTAGAGCGTCTGCAACACAACCAGGAGGTTGTGGGTTCGAACCCCGGCCGCGTCATACCAAAAGACTTTATAAGACGGGAGTTGCTGCTACCTTGTTTGGCGTTCAACAATAGGGGATAGAGCAACGTCGATCTGGCGCTGCTCAGTGGCTGCTGGGCTCACGATCAATTGGGCAAAAAGAATTTCCATTTTTGGTTTAACCTAATTAAATTTGGAGTGGACATTATTATTATTATTATTATGATCTTACTCTGGTGGATGAGATAGCTTCTTGTTTTGCTCTTGACAGCTCTGTGATACGACCTTTCTGCTCCTTCACCATCTGCAATGATAATAGGTTCACATCACATCAGGGGGGTGTTAAGATCCTAAGTTGAACTTATCTCTAAGTTGGACTTAACAATTATGGAAAGCCGTTTAAAGCATCTATGAAAATATTTTGGCATACAATGTGGATTCAAACCATTCATATTTTCTATTATCAAGGAGATTTCATGTTCTTGATGTGGAATTTATGCTTTTGAATACACATGTATTTCATTATAAGGCTACAAATGGCTCTCCATAATATATAAGTTCAACTTAGAGTTAAGTTCGACTTAGAATCTTTGTGAAACACACCCTGGAGCAGATCCGGTATTTTGTAAAAGAGGGGGCACAACAGTCCTAGATTTCGGTAAGCAGACACAAAAAAGGTCATCCTGTCAAATATGAGGGGGGGGGGGGCAAGGCTGCACTCCATTCCATTTAATTATACAACTAAATATCTGCATTTACATTAAAGACAATAAAATTTATATTTCTAAAGGACTTCACACTCACTATTGCTAGATTATTCTCTCAAGTTTATACAGCTCTTGTGCATTGCTCTCTATTAAAGCTTACAGGGCAATCCAACCCTCTGTAATAACTTCATTTGTATGGAAGTGAACAAAATAGAGAAACAGAATGGCAAAAGTTTGAAATAAATCAGGCCATAAGTAAGGGAATCTCAAATTGGCAATTTGGTCAGTGGATTATGATATAGTCATGGGAAAACTCTCACGTTTGGCATGCAGAAAAATATCATTAATTTCTCTTTTTCTCTTAAGCGCCTTCTCTCTTGGGGGCACTACTCACTTCTTGATCTCTTTGAAGCGCAATTTCATCAGATTCTAAAATGGCTGCATTGTTGTCTCACAAAAAGTCTTGCTTGCAAATCAGAATAATTTGAAAGGATACTTAAAAATTTGGTTTGATTATTTAAATCTGTTAACTTTTAAAATATATGATTGAGGTTCAGTGTAGGCACTGGATGACAACACCATATGTAGTATAAACCAAATAAGGTGTAGTCGCATTTGACTTACTGAAGTGAGTTCTGTCACCAAGCCAGATGATCTCTTCTCTTTCTCTACCGATGCACTGAACACTTGTTTTAAATGAGCGGCATCTTGACTTGCTCTTTCATAAGCATCTTGAACCTAGTGGAATGAAAGTGAGCTTCAATGATTAAACGTGTCAAGGTGTCATGTTTCTATCAGACCAGAAGATCTCATCTCTTTCTCAACAATATTGATAGTGTGACAGAACCAGGGGGATGTTTCACAAAGACTAAGATCGACTTTAAGTTGGACTTAACTATGGCAGGCCGTTCATGCCACTGTTTGCTCTCACCATTTACTGAAGGTTTCATATCTAGGTATCTCCACAAACCAAAACTTATTGTTCAATACTAGGCCTATTAAAGGCAATCTAGATGTATGTACAAAACAAAATCTGACTTGGCATAAAAATGCTCCATCCTGCTGAAGAACAGGTTGGTATTTGAATGTAGATGAATAAATATGACTAAAAAGACTCGAAATGTGACTGTACATGTATGAACTAATAATTCTGGAACACATCATTCCAGAACACAATGCAATCTTCACTTTTGTTTCAAATAACTAATGTCATCATGTCCTTGGGGAGTGTTTCACAAATACTTTAAGTTGGACTTAACTATGGCAGGCTGTTTGCTCTCACCATTTACTGGCATTGGTCTCTCAAGGGACGTACAAATCATGGCCACACATCTAGGAAACTTACATTTTTTGATAATTCATTATTGAAGGAAAAAATCTCGAGATCATAATGATGAGAGCACCAGTGGCATGAACGGCATGCCATAGTTAAGTCCAACTTAGAGTCAATCTTAGTCTTTGTGAAACACCCCCCTTATCTTACCTCTTGAAACCTGTTAGACTCTATCTGCAGGGCCAGCCTGAACTCATCTTCAAGGTCCGTATACTGCTTTGTCAATGTCTCTATTCTGTTAAATGAAATGAAATAATCCATAACGATGCTGTATGTAACTACAGTCAAACCTGCTTTAGTGACAACCTGTCTACAAAGGCCACCTGTCTACAAAGAGAAAGGCCAGCTGTCTACAAAGAGTAAGACCACATATTTTGTTTCCCTTGAAAATGGTTTCTTGTTGAAACATGTACTAAAGGAACCTGTCTACATAGACTAACATGTCTACAAAGACCACTTTTTGTGTTTCCCTTGGGCAGTCGCTATAGACAGGTTTGACTTTACTTGAAGGCTTGCAGTGCAAGATTAAATATTTATTAAAGTATGTCTACCTTGTCATTTGGAGGTGTCAACCCTCTCTAACCCACATCATCGGTAGGAATACCCAGCTTGTTATCTTAAGACCAGGGCAGCATTTCACAAAACTGTCTTGAGTACAATTTCACCGACTACGCATTGAACCGTGTGTTAAATTTAATACATGCATTTCAATGGCTTGTCTGGGAAGTTGGACTGATGACGGTTTTGTGAAACACTGCCCTCTGGTCTTGAGTAAGATTTTCAAGCATTGCATTACCATAAAACAGGATGAATTGGAACATGATCAGTAAAATACAGAAACAGGGACACCAACATGTTTTCACAAAAGATATCTAAGACACTTTTCCAAATTTTGTTCTTTTTCACCCTAACCTATTCACAGTTGTATGGTTTACAAATACAGTAAAAAACTAACATATTGAGACCAGGGAATAATTTTCCCGGTATCGCATCGCAATTTGCGACGCATTTTCAGCCATTTGAGACACATCTTCTTTTATGAATCTCAATTGCTGCGATGCAAACATACATGTTTAAGGGCAGGCTCATCACACCTCAGTACAAGTGCGAGTGAGTAGCCCGTTTCGCGATCGCCGGCCCTGTAATCTGAATTAGTAGGCTAGCTAGCTGTAAACACAGCGTAACTACTGTGCGTGAAGTATACTGCAGTCACTCTCTAACCGTGAAGCTTATACACATACACCCATTGTCACACAAGCACATGGCGTGCTACGATCACCTTCTAACCGCGATTGTTGTTTTGAGGCAAGGTTCGCGCGATCATTGCACAATGCAATGCATGTGGGATCTAATTACATGCATTGCATGTGCTCAATGGTTGACCTGGGAGTTGTTTGTTTACTGTCACTGCAGCAAGCAACCATATCCATTTGAGGACTAGAAATGTGAGTACACCCACCATGTTTACATGTACATTCGTCTTTTTGTAGTGGGCTGAAAATGCGCGCTTTGCTTACATGAGAAAAAAATTGAAATACAAATTTATCCAACTGCCATGCGAAAAAAAAATTGTATGGCAGTTTTGCTATGCAATTTTTTTGCTGAAAATCATTCCCTGCAGACTATATAAATACCAAGTTTTGTACTTTTCTAAATATGTAAAAATATAATTTGTTTATATTTGCTTCTCAAGAATGTGACATATTTTAAAGCTTATATCTAAAGTTATAACAGAAAGGCCCTAATTCTACCAGTCCTTCTTTCATTTTCCACTAACAAAACAAAAACAAAACAACATTACATTTACAAGGAGTATGAATAATTCAGTTGTTAAATTATATGATGGCACAAATCGACTGATTTACATTCTGGAAAAAAAATCTCATCCTGTCCCTTTTTCTGTCACAGATCTAGTTGTCATGGAAACAGATTTACCTCTCTTTGTAGAAAAATTGCCCATGTTCATGCTTTTCTCTCTCTTTGCCCACTTCTTTTTCAAGCATTTCTTGAATTTCTCTGCTCCCAGGCTTGTAGTAGTTCTGCAGTTCATTTCTATAGAATATAAATGCACAGAATGGAATCGAAGTTTGACATATCAAATCAGTATTGTTCCGTCGATAGGACAGACCACATAATAAGTAAAGAATAATAATAATAAGAAAGAAAATTCTGATGAAATTAAAAGATGGACCACCTAATGAGAAAAATCCTTACAAATCATTTGCTAACTGGCAGATGAACAAAAGGAAAATAGATAAAACAAAGGATAGAACACATAGATAGTAGATGGGCCTGAAGTGGAAATAAAATGAGAAAAGTTGAGATGGATGTTGGAATTTTTTTGCTTAATATACTATTCCAATAGGGTTTATGTTTACAGAGTATCGAAACATAGGGTAAAAGTTTAGAGTTAGACTTAGCTAATAAACTTAAGTTTTAGGATTTAGGGATCTATTGGGTTGGTTAGGCAATGGAAATCTTGGGGGGGGGGGGTGTTTCACAAAGATTTCTAAGATGGACTTAAAAATGATGTAAAACTATTAGCATCCTTGAAAATATTTTGTAAAAGTTATTTCATAAGGATTAAAAAGTTGATTCAAATCATTCATATTTTCTATTATCATGGGGGATTTCATGCTCTTGATGTGGAATTTATGAAACATCTAAAATACTTAAATTTTTGCTTTTGAATATATTTAATTATAAGGCTACAAATGGCTCTCCATAATATTTAAGTCCAGCTTAGAGTTAAGTTTGACTTAGAATCTTTGTCAAACACCCCCCTGGTCAACTTTTCTGGTCTTGTATTCTCAAGTTGTTCCGAAATTATGAAGGACCAGTAAACTGAAGAAACATCTCTCCTTCCTTACCTGTGTTCCTGTTCTCTTGTAGCCAGTAACTCCTGCAGCTGACGGACCTTGCCCTCCTGCTGTCCAGACTTGACCCGGACTAGCTCCAGCTCTCGCTGACCGGCTGCTGCCCTAAGCTGGTACTCCTGTAAACGTTTAGCCTACAAGAAAGAAAGAGGGGGCGATTCATGACTTAATTCACCTTAGCTCCATTTCTCAATAGAAGACTGTTGTCTTGCAGCAGCAGGACATCAAAAATACTAGATCGAGGGATGCCAGTTAGAATTGATCAGAGGTCCTGGAAATCACCTAGAATGAGCTATTTTGAACACAAAAAAGCCTAAACTATGGTCTGAAAATAACTCGCCAGGGCCTGAATTAAGGCTGTTGCCTGAACAATACGGCGTAAATATTCATAATTGAATGACACACGCATTTAAAACTAAAACAACAACAATAACATGTAGCCAGTGGTGTATCTAGGTATCTGCACCCGGTGGCAAGCAATGCACCTGCACCTGCTTTTTAGTCGGCCCTCCTTCCCTTTCAATTTCATGTTTATTTTTTTAATGTATTGTATTATGCAAATTGATCTATATGTATATAAATATGTGAATATGTTAAAATGTACCATCATTGTAAATATGAACGATTGAAAGAGGAAAAATAAATGAATTGAATTGAAATTGAAATTGAAAAAAAAAATTAAAAAAAATGATGAAATCCTGGAGCAACACATGCGAGGGAGGAGGGAGCAAAATGACTGAGCTTTTGATATTTTGGGCACCTTAAACCCTCAAAAACAATTTCTCATACAATTTACCCTTCATATTAGGGAAGCATGATCCTAATTAAGGATGGTCACTTTTTGTTCCTTTTCACCTTATTCTCTCTTTTACATTTTCTCTCCCCCCCCCTTAGATAAGCCACTGCATGTAGCATTTACCAGCCATTCTCTAAATACCCCCCTTATTTGATAGCCAGCTTGATAAATTCAAAAAATTTGGCATTTAAAACATTTAATTTTGCCTTTGTTGATTTTTTTCCCGGTAGGACATAATGACCCTGGCTATGTGCTGACCTAGCTCCTGTTGCTGAGAGAGGAAAACTTGGTTTGTTTGTTGCTGTAAGCAGCAATAATAAGTTCTCATCAGGCGCGTTTTCGTCATCTCGAGATTACCAAATAGCCTGCTATTTCTGATTTGGGAAATAATCCTGAAGTTACAAAATGCGTCTTCATCAGCTCGAGATTCAACCTCGAAACTTGAAACTCAACTTTGAGAAATTAGCTCAAGATATTTTGCCCAGTGTTAGCGCATAGTGCGAGTCTTCGGTCTGGTGAAGACGCACCAGACAAATAGCTGGATATTTTGCCAAATAGTGTGATATTTTGCAAACTATCCCAAGATATCTTGGGATGACAACCCTGACCAAATATACTTCTAATTGCTACTTCGGTCTGATGAAGACGCAAATTAGCTGGATAGTTTGCAATCGGGATAGTTCAAATAGCTGGATAGTTGGCAATCTCGAGATAGTAAAGACAGGCCTATCATGACCATATTGATTTGGGAGTTATGGGGGCTTGGGGGTTATATTATAACCTCGTACATTAGATGCAGGGGTGATAGTGAGCACTCAACCTTTTTTTCCTTTTCCCTACAGAGAGGGAAAAAAAATGGCATCTAACAACATCTCCCCCCCCCCCCCCTTTTGAGTAAGAAAATTGGGGAAAAATAGGGAAAATAGAGAGAAAATCGGGAGATTTTTAAAAAATTTTAAAATGTGGTGCTTGTAACCTCTCGTAGCAAACAGTCTAACTCGGGCAATGCTCTGTTGGCATCTGAAAAGTCTTACTATCAAAAAATGGCAACACGATTGTATTTATAAAGGACTTACATCATGTGCTTGCTGCTTGAGCTTCTCAGATTCCATTCTCCTAGCCGTCTCTTCCATAGCTCTCAAAGTCTGCCTTTGTTCTTCGTCTGCTCTCTGAGTTACTGATAACTTCTGCATGGTTTCTTTTAATCTTCCCTGAAAAATACAACGTCGCACAATTCAATTCAATTCAATTCAATCAAGGTTTATTAAAAACATGAATGGCAGTCTTAAACTGAATTATACATGCTTTCACAGTGAAGGTAAAATACAATGCATAATGCAAGCATAAAATAACAATATGAGATAAGAAAAAATGGAATTAAATATAATATGTACAAACATAATTTAAAATTTGATTGGTAAAATTATAGTAAAATATATACAAAATTTAAAAAGACTGATTGATATTAATAATAATAATAATAATACTCAGTTTTTATATAGCGCTTATTAGAATCACTAAGCGCTTCCAAACTTGGAGATTATTACCCCGGCTTTAGCTGTGCTGCCATTGCGGCGCTCTAGCATTTCAAAAATAACATAATATTGCACGGTTGTTAAGGCAATTATAAGCTTGGATTTGCATAGTGAAAGTTTAACATACAGGTGAGCTTGGGAAGAGCACTGTTTTTAAGCATGAAATGAACATTTCCCTTTTCAGGATAAAATAAAGATTACATACATCATTTTGTCCAGGTAAATCTGTGGAAAATAAGGATGTGAGAACCCGACGAGAAATTACCTTGAGTATACTAACGTCATCTTCTAATCTTGATTTCATCTCTTTCTCATTCATGACGGCCTGCTTGAGACGGCCGCTTGCTTCAACAACCACCTCCTGTAGCTCTCTTTCCTCATTGGCTGAAAAAGACACAGGACATACAGGGAGGTGTTTCACAAAGATTCTAAGTCAAACTTAACTCTTAGTTGGACTTATACATTATGGAGAGCCATTTGTAGATACAATATATTCAAAAGCAAAAATTGAAGTATTTTAGACTTTTCATTAATTCCACATCAAATCTCCTTGATTATAGAAAATAGGAATGATTTAAATCAACATTTAAAAAAAAATATTGTTTCAAAGATGCTAATGGCTTTCCATAATTGTTAAGACCAACTTAGGATCTTTGTAAAATACACCCCCCAGATAGTTGAATTCAAGTTCATTTTTATTTACTATTTTTTCATATAATAGTGCACAGTATGAAGAACATAACAAAAAGTACATTTCTGGTAACAATGAAGTTTTACATAGATAACAGTAGTAAGCAAATATTGATCGACTACGAGGGTAATGGTGCAAACTATCTTCGCCGAGGTGATCTTGGGGCTACTATCGAGGGATGATGGTAGCCTCGAGATCACCGAGGCGATGATAGTTTGTATCCATTGCCCGAGTAAAGGAGGTTAATATTTGTTTTATATCCCACATCGGCAATAAGGTCTATTTAAAGTGAATTTTACACAATAATAAAAACTGATTCTGCAGACAGTTTAGCTTCAGCTAGATTTTACAAAGTGCAACATGCATATATGTAATACAGTCGATGCGCGCTCATTTGACATTGACATTGACTTTGACATTTCGCGTAACCTACTTTGCTATGCGTAGTCAATGGGCAAGGGTGGGCAAGTGGGGTAGCAGCAAAAAATTACTTTACAAAAGTACTATCTAAGGTAGATAGTACTATCTATATTTTATCATGTGACCTCGTTTAGACCCATCAGATTGCAAGATTCTTAGTATGCGGGATATAATACAATTTATATACCTCACTTAAGAAATCCAGCCATCTGATTGGTCGAAATTGCATTCATAAACTTTAACTATTTCTGTAAAATTCCCAGTAACCATGGTTACCGGGAAAATAGGTCAGTCTCCATGGTTACCCCATAGGTTTACATGTTAAAAAATGGTCTGAGCGATCGAGGATACCGTACGTGTGCGAAGAATTGGTCGGTAATTTCAATACAATTGAATCTTGATCAATCTTACCGACAATTTTATCTTGCATTGTTGACATGAAGACGAAAATAAACTTCCAAAAACAAAAAAGCATCTGCCGATAGATCTTGATCTAAGTTCGTGCCAATATGCATTGCAAAAGTAAAAGAAGGGCCCGTTTAGTGGAGCAGCCGCGAAGCATCCACCACGCGAAGCCGTTTTCAATCCATTTTAATGTATATATTATAAAAAACTGCTTAGTATAGTAACAGAGCGCGATGGCCGAGCGGATTAAGGCGCTTATTTTAGATACATCACCTTTTTGTACGCAAGAGATCGAATCCCATCTTCGACAAAAGTTGTTTTTTTTATTTTTTTTTATTTTTTAGTCTATTTTTTGGGGGCATATAAAAGTATTAATGACTGCTTTAATATTCGAGAAATAGTTGTTTTTATACGGGAAGGTTACAATTGGGCTATTGCCCTCGGCACGCCTCGGGTAATAGCACAATTCTAACCTTCCCTTGAGTGTATAAAAACAACTATTTCTCTCAAAGCAGTCATTAATACTATAATATCATTCCCATGTTATAACCTTCAAAAAAAAAATTGGAAAAATAGTAGGGCATGTTTAAAAGCTATGCTTGTATATCAAGTGCCCCAAAATTGATAAAAAGGTAAAGAACAGGATGCACATTGAAAGTGTACCAATTACTGAAAGACACCCCCCCCCCCCCCACCAAAAAAAAAAAAAAAAAAATCATGCAGCCATTTAACGCACACAATACGTGAACTCTCAAATCACGGCACATGATAAAAAAGCTTAATATGGATTAGCAACAATAGCAACAAAAACTAAAATTAGAATATTCAAAATGTTAAGGTCCTGAAAATCAGAACATTCCGGATTATTCGGAAGGGTTGGCAGGTGGAGCACCGACCGACTGACCAGATACATTGAACTTGCCTATAGACTTCCTGCTATAAAGGAATACCTTTAGTTTGTACATCTTGGATGTGGTCAGCTAGCCTGATCGCTGCTTGTTCTGCTTTCCACCGTCTCTCCCTCTCTCTGTCAAGTTCTTGAAGCAATGACTGAAAGAAAAAAAAACACACATCAATCGCATTTAATTTCATTTTGTGGTGGCCAAGACAATGCAGAAAACATTGTCTCTGTAATACTTTTTTCGCCTGTTGAGACATAAGGTTTGCTTGCTGTGTGCTGCCGTCTCATGCTGAGATACAGAGTTGCATTGATATGTCTTCGAACACAGTAGTGCAGCGTAGAGGACAGCATATTATTTGTTTTCGTCCTGGGGCTATTCTGAAAACGACGTTATCTTTTATGTTTATTGTCATAAACAACTCAAAATGTACAAAATTAAAACTTGACATTGGTGCTTGCGCAGACTTTAACTAATACTTTTTCATAATTTTGATTGTAAGAGGTTACAATCGAGCTAATGCCCTCGGCAAGCCTCGGGCAATAGCTCGATAGTAACCTCCCCTTGAGTGTATAAAAACAACTATGTCTCTCAAAGCAGTCATTAATACTATATTACAACCTTGTACTCCTTAACATAGAGGAGGCGCGATAGCTCAGTAGGTAGAGCAGTGGTCTCGTAAACCGGTGACCCGGGTTCAAAGCCAAGTTGATGCGCTAGTGCCCTTTGGTAAGGCTTTTATCCTCATTACCAGGCCATCGGAGACCACCTAAACAGTCGGCCGTCTGGTGGCTTACTTACAAGCATTTATGCTTTCTTAGCAGTCAGGTAAAATAAACACCACCATTCATTCACATATTGGATGAGTGCTACCTACCAACTTATCTGCATCTTGTTCCGGTGTTGTCGGTACTACACGTCTCGATGCTGCAGATGGCTCGACTGTCCTCTCCAGGCCACTAGATGGCGATGTTGAGACTCCCTGGCTACTTCCTGGTGAGGGACAAGACTTTGTTTTTGTTCTTGTAGGTCTGGAAATAGAAAAAAAAGAAAAAAAAAGAGATGTGTTGCAGAGATGCCAACTTTTGGAAATCAGAAATAGGGAGGATTTGTAACCGACATCAAATAATGTGCGCATAGCGCACATCCCGTGCGCAGAGCGCCCGATCCATGCAGCCAGGGTCCAGCTCTGGGGTTCTAGATGCTCTCTTGTGCAATCTGAGCCTTATTTTGGAGCATTTTATATTTTGGTTATAATTCCCACTTTTTTTAAAAATAACATGCAAATTGTACAAAATGCATGATGAATTCCTCTTTCAGACTTCCGAATACACAGGTACTTGATACTGTATTCTGTCTTATACTTCTGAGACCATTTCTTGGTCTTCTTTTGCTGATTTTCCGCCATTCAGATTCTGTGTCAATATTCATGCATTGGTTACGCCGAACCATATGATGAACCAATCTTTCGCTGCTCTTAATTTTTCTTTTACGTAGAATTTGGTACCAGGGAACATAGTGGAGTTACTACATGCTAAAGTTAGCAGACGATATTTCTCATTCAATTCGCAGATATATATACTGATCAGCCCGAAAAAAAAATCATAATTAAAAAAAAAATCGGGAGGATAAGGATGGTGATTGTAAGATCAGGAGTTGGGGTGAATTATCGGGAGCCCCCCCCCCCCTATGAAATCGGGAGAGTTGGCATCTCTGGACTGTTGATCTATCATAGAATGAGGAGAGAAACCATGTGACAAAGAATATGGACTACAAAAAAAAAGGAAAACAAAAAGAAGAAACATAAAGAAGTGAGACAACCTGACAAAAGAATGGCTTTTGTTCCCCATTTTTTTGGTCACTAACTCAAAATAAGCTGAAAACACGTTAGGTATTTTAAGTAAAGATCTTGTTAAATCTTACATTTTGCTGGTCTTTGACACCCGTTCTTCAGATTTATTCCTCTGCCTCCCAGTTGCTGGCTTTTTCCCTCCATGCTTTCTTCCTCTTCTTCCCATCTCAGAATCACTGTCATCAGTTGGATCTGTGTCTGCAAGCAATAAGCATATCATTATCATCACCATAACCATCATCATCACAAGCATCTGCCCCAACCCCCTCCCCCTCCCCCCCCCTCAGTTTCAACTCCACATCATTCATCACTTATGAAGGAAAATAATTCAAAGCAGCAGAGCTTCTCCAGAGTGACAGAAAATGTGTCCTCATGTCTAGGCTGGTTATCATAGCCTTACAGGCTTTAAAGGGATTGGGTATCTTTGTCTCAGGTTCTGAAACAAAATCCTGGATTTAGCTCATGCTGCAATGATAATTCTAAACCTTTAAGTCAGTCAGGAACCCCATGACTTTTACAAGCCGATCGCCTGTCTGATTATCAAGATATTGCTGATTGGAAATCGAAATTTCAAAAAACCGTTTTCCTAACAGTTTTTATAACACTACAGTCTATTGGGGAAATTAGTATGGTAAAACCGGTCACTCTAAGATAATGAGGTATGGCACCACCTTCAGTGGCTGAGGCATTGTTATGAAGATTTTATATTTATGCTTAACAAGATAAGGAGGGACTAACCTTTCCTTGCTACATGTATTCTGCCACTGGACACCCTTTTTCTTGCATGTCTTCCAGGTTCCTCATGACTGTCTGTGCTAGGTGATGCCTCAGGAACCTAACACACAGAATGAAACAAAATGTGGGTCTATCGTGAAGTAGGAAACTAAAGATGTGCACCTATGGTTATCTGCAAAAAACCTTACACCCCTGCAAAGAGAAGATTAACATTATTATCTAAGCTTTCACGTTCAACTTTCAATCCCCAAAGTTGAAGCAGAGTAATAGTGCCTGAATCAGATATTTCTAGCAAAATTCAATTAAATCAAATCTTGCTTGGAACGATTTTGGTGCTTCTTTTACACTAGTGGAGCAGTGAATTTACGACGCAGTCCCACATTGGTTTAGTCACACAAACTGGTGTGCATCCAAACTTGCATGCCAAGCCTATGGAGGTGGAAAGAAGACACACCACGATTAGTGTAAAAAGGCCTGTGCTATTATCGTGAAGTAAGTATCAAATTCGCAACGCAAAAAACAGGTGTTTTCATGTTTACCGGTGTATTTGCATTTACGACAGAACCGACATCGCATGCTCTCGTGAATGGTCAGCGGTTTTGTAATGTAAATCACATGTTAGCTCATTATCAACAGGAACATGAAGAAGGGAAGCAAATTGCTCTCACTCCTGAATCAATCTATCGGGGATGGGTGATTATTAATGCATTTCAAGTTTTGTTTACATCATTCTTCAGGCAGGGGAATGAGAGCCAATTAAAGCTAGGTGATATTAATATCATATTTCACATGATCGCCTAGCCCTTAAAGGGGCACGTTGCCGCCATTGTAGTTATCGCTGCTCTAGTCATCGCCATCTTGGTTCCGAAGATCATCTTCTAATTTGCATACAGCTGTTAATCAAAGTACGCGCGGCCTGGCCTGCCTTCGTCAAGCCAGCTAATCGCTGCCGATCCTGACGTCACGAAAGTGGGGGGAAACAGCAGCTGAATCTTAGAACCGAACTGCGATTGGTATTACTTCGGCACATGTATGCGATGATCCGCATTGTGCGGGCATTCGGAACATGCCATCTGCGTAAGAGCTGTATTCTGTTGGTGTCAATAGGCAGCTAGCACTGTCCGCCAGCGGGCACGTATTTTGAACGCCCTCTGGACTATGGGGAACATGCCACTTTAAAGATACTACCGTATGTCCCTTTTGCAGCCAACATCAAATTCTGTAGAACTTTGCAGGAATTATGGATATGTCATGTATGTCCTATCTGTGAAGTATAAACATTAGCAGTGTCCTAGTATTCAAATTATGCAATGAAACCTGTTTACCTTCTAGACTTCCCTCTAAGACACTATTGAGTGACTGACTGACATCTTCTTTTCTTTGGTAATAACGTACATGAAATGAGCTGTAACACATACCTGAGCATTTGTCTACATTAATAACCCACTACTTGTAATGGTCAAAATTAAACTGACTGAATCTTTGTGCAGCGCAAAACATAAGACCATTCGGTAAAAGGGTCTGAAAATCAGACTCTTCCTTACGTGATTGCAATCACTTAAGTCTATTCGACAACTAATGGTCGTTATTTTCAGATAATCAGACAGGCGATCAGATTGTAAAAGTCATGGGGTTCCTGACTAACCTAAAGGTTTATAATTATCATTGCAGCATGAGCTAAATCCAGGATTTTGTTTCAGAATCTGAGACAAAATTACCCAAACCCTTTAAAGGCAAGCCTCACCTGTGGCCTTCTAGTCATGATGTCCACGAGCTGTTGTTCCAGGATCTTCAGCCTTTCCTCATGGCTGGTGGACCGAGTGTGGGCAGCAGGATATGCTTGACCTATCTATGTATGCACAAACAGATGAAGCTAGAGATAATAGGCCATGTTTATAACAACCAGCATTTGCTTGGAAGCCAAAGCTACTTAGTAAAACCTTACAGGGGTGCAAGCACAAGTAAATGCCTAAAGCTCCACTGTCCTACTTGTAGCTACTTGCTCCCTCTATATAGAAAACTGCCCCCATCGGTGCCTGTTGGTCCCCCATGATCCTCTTTTTCTTATGTTAGTTGAGAGCTGAGTTAATGAGATAGCCACCTGTCAGTGACCTCGCTGTGTGGTCTAATCCCTTCTGGCCCAGTAGTGTTGACGGTCTTTAAAGGAGTCACCCGAAGAGTCAAAAGTGTTTTGAATTGATGCAAAATCCATATCATTGCGAAGGGGAAGCCTTACTGATCATATATAACAATTTCCCTCTTCAACAATATGTTTGGGGCCCGCAGTAATCATCTCTCAAAAATGTTAATTTTGAGTTCCAGATTTTCTGCCTTCAGCGGTCCTCTGTTTCACGGCAAACTGCTGCACAATACAAGTGCATACTGATGGTGGGGGTGCAGGCGCGCACGCGTGCCTGAAGTTAGGGACTGTAATCTCAGATCCTCATTAAATTTATGCAACTAATTCACATCATGAATTGATGATGTTCATTACGGTCGCTAACTTCACGCAAGCGTGCGCACCCGCCTGAAATCTACCATCGATATGCACTTTATTTGGTGAAAGATGAGTCACTCTTTCACCTCGTGCAAAATCTTGTACCATTGCACTCATTCACCGTTCACTATTTGCATAATAATTTGATTATAAAATAGCAACCACATAGTTTTTCATTTATTGATGTATCAGTCTCTACAATATCATTGTACCATTGTTATGCATCTTTTTGTATTTGTGTTTGAAATCCAACCTTTTGGTTGCAATAAAAGAATAATAATATAAGTTATTATTACATGTGACTCTTTCAAGGCTGTTATTCTGACGTTATTTTCATCCTCTTTCTCGGTCGTGCTGGCTCCAGATGAAGCAAGGGCTCGCTGACGGAATTTCTCCAAGACTTGGTCTATTTTAGGTGTAATGATTTGAAGTGGAGTTTCCTTTTCCTTTAAGAAATTAAAAAAGGAGAAGGAAAAAAAAAAATCATAACATGGAAACCAGCTGGGTTTATACTTCAGTCCTACCAACAAGACTCACCATACTGACAACAGATGGAACAAAAAGATACATTACTGGACTGGGTCTATTGTTCTGGCTTGTTGGGGTTAGGAGTGTGGCCGGTGGGTGCTGGCTGGCACTGTGACGTACATTATTGGCATCTTACCCGAGGTCCTCTTTCAATCTTTTTAATAAGGCCTTAAAACAAAAAGATGTTGTATTGCCCTTTAGGTGCCAAAACATGGGTCGGTCGGTCAAAATTTTCTTTTTTAAAATTTTTTTTTTTTCCTTCCTCCCTTCTTGGGCTGATATTTCTCGGTTTTAAATGCTTTGATACATATTTTTTTTTATTCATTAAACATTTTTTTCTCTAAAAAGTGGTTTAATTTTTTTAATTTTTTTAAAGCCAACCATAGATTTCAAGTTTTTTGGGTCGGTCGCAAGGGCAATACATCTTTTCTTTTATAGGCCTAATGTGAGTTTACTGTCAGTGGCATATATAAGTAGACAGTAATAGTATGTGTCATATTATTACATGTTCAATGTTGCATCCAGTCATTGTTATTATCACTCAATAAAAATAAATTTAAAAAAAAAGTTACATTAACCAGAATTCGCCAAGAATTGGTGGGTAAGGAGTCATTTTGGGGGTGTGTAAGGCAGTGCCCAAGGATGAAAAGAGACCATATTGTTAGAACCCAGCATGTTCTGTACAATATAAAGCGGAGAAAAGCCTGAAACTGAGGGGTGGCAAGACCTGAAATCAGGCACCGACTTGAAAAATAGAATATCATTCTAGTAAGGACTTAGGCTGTGCATAATCGTGGAATAAAGGTACTCGAGTACACTCTCAGGCTTACAGATGAATACTCAAATACTCGGATGCCATATTTTTGTTGTAATTAAAAAAAAAAAAAAAAAAAAAAAACACCACCATGAACGGTGGGAAAAAAAATGGCGGCCGAGTATTCAAAATCATACTCAAGTAGTTGTCAACACTGCGAGTACTCGAGTCGCAGCCTTAGTAAGGACTGTAGGTTTTCTCTTATTTGTTATGTTATCATTAAAGGAACAACATAAGAAATCAATCATAAAAGTTCATCTGTGCTGGTAATATGTACATGTATGTTTGAAAGTTTAACTTTTGAACTCAATACAAAATTATCAGCTGTTAAGCTCCAAATGTCTATGACCTGATTATTGCCAATTAAGTCAGAAAGGCCAAGTCAGGTCAAATCATTGACAAAAGCTGAAGCTGAATAGAGGTAAAGATTTTGTATTGAGATTTAAAGTTGAACTTCAAACATACGTGAGAAAGTAAGTACAAGTAGATATGCATAATGATACATGTATGTATTCTTTGCTGTTAATTTCTAGGTACATGTCTACCTGTTCAGCACCACTTCCTACATCAGACGAAAGAAGGTATTCCAAATATTGTTCCAGACCTAGGACAAAATAATAAGGAAACTGGATGTTAATGAGTACACACCATTGAATAAAATGTTACGGATTACTTTCTCCATATAAAAAAAAAACACCATCATCTAATACATAGGAATCACTTATTTTAGCATTTCTAGCATTCTTTCTCTGTTTGGTATCTGTCATGATTCTTGAATGATAAAGCAGTGAAGAGATGAAAACAGCAAGTACATTAAACAGCTGGTCAGACCTCTCTAAAAACAATGATAACATTTTCCCTAATCGCCTTCCTCTTGTTTATGAGCATTGAAGTTCAGTATCGTAGTTAAAGCCTCGGTCACAAATGCCATTACGAACTGCTACGAACACCATACCAACGATTTTCAGACAATAGAAACTAGGGAAGACAATGGAAAACCATGGAGATTTGTACGAAATTATCGTTCGTACGAATCTTTGTGATCGTAGCTTAAGACCTCCACAAGTTATGCTCATGAGCCTTCCTCAAAAATTCTAGTTTCTTGTTAGAATCGCTCAGAATTGCAACCATGATATTGGAGAGCCAACATTTTACTAATTTGATGTGGCATCAGTCCAGAAGAATTGATGTGGGCAATGCTTTGACAGGATCCCAATGATTCTATCTATACATTATTTTCCATACAATTTATCACTAGTGTTCTACATGTACAACTAAATAGGGAATCTCTCAGTCTCTTAGGGATAAAATTGTATTTTACATGCCTTTACAAATAAGTTTTCAGAAAAAGAGATGAATCTTAGGTTCATTGAATACCATTAGTTCGAATTCCCCCCCAAAAGGTGCAATTTCTCTAAAATAGTAATCATTCATAATTTCAATATCAATATCTGATGAATAGATCAAACTTTCAAGTAAAACTATAGATTTTCACACCAGCTGATAATTGAATGACCTTGCAAAACTTAGCACAAGCCAAACAGCCTGTCCACACACAAAACAATTTATCCTGAAACTCTATAACAAAATTTTGTATAAAGAATCATCATATACAGTAAATTCCAGGGTGTCCACACACAAGAAACGTTGTATAGAATCAGCGTATAAATTCCAGGGTGTCCACACACACAAAAAAGTCATCCCAAATTATGGAAAGCCAGTTAGCATCTATGAAAATATTTTGTAAATGTTATTTTAAAATGCACAAAATGTTGATTCAAATCATTCATATTTTCTATTATCAAAAAGAGTTCATGTTCTTGCTGTGGAATGTATAAAAAGTCTAAAACAATAGAATTTTCACTTTTGAATACAAATGGCTCTCCATGATTTTAAAGTCCAACTTAGAGTTAAGTTCGACTTAGGATCTTTGTGAAACACCCCCCTTACCTGGAATATCAGATAGACCATCATTGGTCTGGATGGTGATTCCTGTTCGATCCGCACCATCTAATGAGATAAGCTGTGGCAGGGAGTTGAATAAAGCTGTTCTATAGCCTGTGGATGAGAAGAGAATTATTACTGGATAGTACACCACGGCTATACCGCTTTTGCTCCAGCAACATTAACTCAATTTCCCACACTAACCAAACATCTCAACATCAACCGAACACTGTACCTTATCCTAGCCCAAACCCTGATCCTATTATACCTAAATAACCTGATTGCAACCCTATCCCTACACCTTTGAAAAAATAAATCCTGGAGCAATCATCACCAAAATAAATGTCACATTGAAATAAATGAATGAAACAGAAACTGTAGCACTTGACACAATATACAATACAATAATTTCCCCATCGACATGCATACTTGTGCTAATACATATATCGGAGTTTGTTTCCAGCACTGTAACAGCTGCAAAAGCAGAATAGGTGGTTTTTCTTGCATAAATAGGGTTACTGATCATAATAGAAACTAGTGCTGTAGTCAAACGTTTAACCGTCCGGTATCCGACCGCCCATGGCGGATTCCGTTTTCAATTGGACGGTTTCGTTTTCCCGTTTTTTTTTTTTTTTTTTTTTTTTTTTAATTTTTTTTGTTTTTTTTTTTTTTTTTTTTTTTTTTTTTTTTTAAAGTTTCGATTTATGCCCCTCCACCTGGCACTATGCCTGGCAATGTCTCCCAGCTCAGTAATCGGTGTGATGACTTACCACTTGGAAACTAGAACAACACTCCAATTTGTCTGTCATCTTGGTTTGAAAGTAATCTTTGTAATAGATCTCAATATAATATATTCATCCAAGTTTAACACATGGTGTACCACAAGGTTCTATCCTAGGTCCTCTACTGTTTTTAATTTACTTTAATGATCTTACACATTATTCTAAAACGACATTGTTACTATTATTTGTGACTAGTTCACAAGCACAAATCGGCGCCTTCAGTTAAATCACCTTCCTGCTTTTCACACGGCCAAAAAAAAAAAAAAAAAAAAAAAAACGATTTTTTTTTTTTTTTTTTTTTTTTTTAAATTTTTTTTAATAATTTTTATAAATAAATCGTTTAACCGAAAACCGTCCGGTTTTGACAGGCGGTTAAACGGAATTGGAGATATCCGTGATGTTACAGCCACATTTTTTCCTTTTCATTTAGGACATGAGCTTGTGTAATACTTAATTGTCTGCGATAAGACAAATAATTTTCACTGACAAGTAATACAAATGAAGTCACACATACATGTATATAGTGTCATGTGATCATCTATTATAAAAAATACATGCCAATTTATTCAGCTCCATAGGGATGATTCACTTACGTAATAATAGAACAAATCTCCCTTTTACGACTGATTATTTTCACCCGAAGTATGTTACTGTGGAAGAATATCATAGTAGAAACTAGAAATGTCTCCTGAAAAGGAAAGCTCTTGAAAGGCCCTCATATATGAAATGTGTCAACAGCTGAAAAGTTTACACTAACCCTTTGTGTGTAGTGATGTAGTTTTATATGTGCATCCATTTCCATCATCTTCATCAAAGCATGGCCAATTGAATTTCTTTATATTATTTTCATGATTTCAAAACTTCACAGTATACAATAACTAATATGCACTACATAATCAACCCCACCAAATTACTTTGAGACTGTTTCCTTTTCGATGTAAGTACACTAGCACAACTACGGCCCTGTTCCATGCAACTTGTTATCATTAACAAGTTACAATGGCTGTTATAAGCTACTGAAATAGTGGCATTTGATAGGCTGAGAGCAGACTTGTCATAGAAATCTATCATTTGTTATTGATAACAAGTTTTATGAAACAGTGCCCTGTATCATCTTTATTTTTACACTCCTTGCACTATGAATATGACGGACAAAGAAAGAGGACAAAATATACAGTTCCTCAGGTAGACAAAGGAACATCCCTTAACTGCTATGATGTAAAAATGTGTAGAACAGGTGTCACATGCATATTCACCTGTTCTACACATTTTTACATAATAGCAGTGAGGGGATGTTCCTTTGTCTACCTGAGGAACTGTATATTTTGTCCGCTTTCTTTGTCCGTCATATTCATAGTGTTGGGAGCTTGAAGGAACAAGAGAAAAGAGCTTGAAACTAACCAGGTAATCTACACACTGGATTGTCACTCTGCTCGTGGAGGAAGGTCACATGACAAAGGCGTGACAAACCAGCCAGACACCCAATCAGATGCTCTGCTGAAGACAGCTGGTTACCGTGGAGATGAAGGTGTGTCAGGCTGTAGTCTGAGCCATGAAGTTCCCTCAGACCTGAGATGTCGTGGATTTGATTGTACGAAGCATTCAGCTTCAAAAGTGATCTGCATGCAGATATCAATAACAAAAGCAAGAGAGAGAAAGAGGGAAGGAGGGAGAGAGGGGAATAGAGAGAGAGAGAGAGAGAGAAATAGAGAGAGATATAAAGAGAATTGTATTGAATAGATTGAACTCTCTTAGCACCCCCCCCCCCCCCCAAAAGCAAAATATAGTTTTATAATAAAAGCCTAGGTGGTAAATACGGCAGATGAGACATGTATGTACATGTACGGTATATACTATACGGTATATTCGGTGTCCACGAATATAAGCATGACTTCTTATGCGTATTTTGACGGGCTGGAAGTTAAGAACCTGTCAATATGTTTTGGGGTCGCTCAGTGCGAAGAATTTGATCACACGAAAACAGTACATGCAGTAGATTATCATTGATGATGAGCTTACTTTAATGATCGAAGGCCTGTGATGGTGGAAAGCTGATTGCAAGCGACATTTAGCGTCCGCAGGTTGAGGAGTCCATCCAGCCCCTCGATCCTGGTCAGGTGATTGGAAGACAAATCAAGGTGGCGCAGGTGCCTCAGGTTTTGGAGATTCTCAATCTTTGCTATCTGGTTACAATGAAGGTTGATGCTTTGGATGTGGGCAGTGAGAGGCAGGTCCTTCAGGTTTTGAACACCAGCATCCATGAGGCAAAACTCATCTGGTGCTCCAGTTCCTGCTAAGTCATCATCTATGTGTTGTTCCGATGGACTCGCCACGCCAGAGAATTTGACCCTGAAATTCCCTCTGCCATGCATTTTGGGTACTGTGGGTAGATCTTTAACAAAATAATAATAATAATAAATCTTAAATCTGGATTTCTGTAGCGCTTACAGATAAAGGTGAGTTCTGGTCATCCGATTACATTGTGAAAGAAAATTTGTGAAAGAAAATGTGTGGAATGGATCAGAAAAAGTTGATCATGTAGCATGTAAGTATTGGTGTGTACTGCAAAGTTCTGGAGGCATCAAAATCATAATAAATTTGGCCCAGTCTTAGTAAAGTAACAAGCACTGTACACAGAAAGATGTATATGGGACTACACAAATAATGTCGGAGCTACTAACCTTGATTTCCTAATCTTTCTATGCCCATTACTCAGCCAGTATATATTTTCTACCAAAATTGTTTGGCAAATTACATTTATTTGTAATCTTGAACATTCAGTGTAAAGTTTCGTTTGATTCTGTGAGAATTCATTTCCTTTTTTTTAACCAGAACTCACCTTTATTTTTAATACGAAATACTGTCTCCAAGTGCTTTACAGATGTTGTTCGTTTTCACTGGCTGCCTGTCATAGCAACAAGCAGAATTGACAAAAGACTCAACTCCATTTTATTGACAATCAGCCATGCATGAAGTCTTTCGTCTATGTCTGATCGTCAACAAAACGGAGTTGTCTTTTGTCAATAGACCAGTTCAAAGGTTAGCACATTACTGCAATGACCCTAGCCTATAATCTAGGCGGAGTGCCGAGCTTTTTTCTTTGCTGCTAGACTAACCTTAAGCTGAACGTCTGATACGGCGAGACTACGAACCGTGCGGCTCACCGCCTATAATCACTGGTCTAGCTAATCAATATTCATATATATTCAAAATGGCGGATCTATGAATCATTCAACAGCCCTACCAAATAAGGTACACCTATGTTACGTTCGACCAATCAGATATAAGAAACCGCAACGAAAAAAGAATCCGTGGTCGCGTAGAAAATCACAGCACAAGGGGATTGCTTGGTATATTGCACTCTTTCCAAAACCAGTAGGTAATGCAACAAAAATATCCCTGCCGGCTTCAATAACGCTACGAATAGCGGATTCCTGCAGTTCTCTGAATTTTCCATTAGGAATGCCTACAGTGTAGTTTGTTGGCCGCATATGATAAACTTTCTCGCAGAAGATCGTCGTCGCATGAACTACCCGCCATCTTGGATGAAGAAAATGACGTAATGTCACGTGATTTATAATATGCATATGCATAGACTCTTCTCCATACGTGTTTCTGATTGGTTGATTTCATTTCGTATTCATGAGGTTTTTTCGTACGAAAAAACTGCCACGGATTCATGGTCGATAATAAAAAAACAACGACTAAAGCTAGACCAGTGATTATAGGCGGTGAGCCGCTTCGCGACTCACGGTTCGTAGTCTCGCCGTATCAGACGTTCTGCTTAGGGTTAGTCTAGCAGCAAAGAAAAAAGCTCGGCACTCCGCCTAGATTATAGGCTACAATGACCCCGAATATCCACAGATCTTCAAAACATGAAGAGGTCCCACTTTGTACATTTTGAAATAATCACTCGTACAGCAATGGAGGTGCTACATAAATATCCTTTGTTTCCCCTTTTCAAAGAATACTTCCACCTGTGTATCATGGAGTGCACTGCTTGTGCTACATGAATAATGATTACATAACTTTCATGAGTACGTATCCAGTATTTCCTTTCCGTGTATTTCAAAATTTGTTCTGCAATGACCCCGTCTGGTAGTGGTACATAATGAGAATGATTAAGACAAGACTCTAATGAGTACAAGAAGATAGACCAAGATTAAAGAAGATAGCCTGGAACAGTGGAAGCTCGACTGCTGTCTCACCATTCTTCCAGTATTAGCGCGCATGCGCGGTACAAACTTGCAAGTTGTACTTAAATGTTCGTTGAGGTCCGAGAATGAGGATCGTCCTCATAAACGAGGATATCCTCATAAACGCGGACAAAATGCGTCCTCATATTTCATAAATAAAGATCGTCTGCATTTTCCGCCCGCCCGCTGGCAATGCCAAATTTGGATTCCCCAGGGGAAAATAACCCTGGTTGACCCGTCTACTTTTATGGGTTGTCCGTCTTCCCAAGGATTCATTGCTCATAATGTGAAGGTCTCTGTACAAAGTCAAAGTAAAATGCATCAAGAAAATCATCCCGGAATCCGTTTTTTGCATCGACAATGTGCCGATCAAAAATATGGAACATGTGCTTTATTGCAGACGATCCTTGTCAAGACATTTGAGGACACATTGGTCCGCATTTACAAAGACAATCTTCGTTTATGAAAATGATCCTTATTCTCGGACTGCTCGATCACTCAGCATTGGATTTGGATAGTTAAAAATCTGTGGACGTAAAGTATGCAATTCAAACTTACCGCCGCCGCCCTACCTCCAGCTCCAGCATCTATCACTGCACTGACGCTAGGCTGTGGAACAGCGCATTCGTCAATTTCTTACGGGAGAAAGTTTAGCATGTACCTTGCTAACAGCAGTATTGATTTACTATCATAAATGTTGTGCTGTCGCATCATATCGGGGTTAGTAGCCCGATAGAGCTCTCAAACCCTCAAATTTTGTGCAGCCTTGGCGGTTTAGAAATCCTAGTAGAGGTAGGTACGAGGTAACGCAATCGAGTCCGGTAGTCTGTGTACAAAATTAGTCTTACTTCAAAGCGGTTTCATTTCTAAATAATAGAACGATTACAAAAATACCCGTTTTTATATTATTGCACCGAGTTTGTAAATAACTAAATACCAGTATGCAGTAGCGTACGCATAATTTTTTTCGAGGGGGGGGGGGGGGGAAGGGGCGGAGGGGGGTTAAAATGTGAAAATCGCGCCGAAATTTCGCAACGACTCAGCCAGGGGGGGAGGGGGGGGGGGGGTGTAAGAGCACATATTTTATTTTTTTTGTCCCGAAAAAATATGCCGACCGATATATCGTTCAGTAGGGGGGGGGGGGGGTGACTTTTAGGCTTTATTTTTGTTTTTACCCCCCCCCCCCCCCCCTTCCTGCGTACACGTCTGCAAGTATAATTAATTTGAAGACATTATGTACTGTGTTTTAAACTATATTATGTATTTCGGAGGGATGTACAATTTTATGCTATCTCATTTTCATAATACATATGTATATATATATATATATATTATATATACGAAGTAAATGAGACAACCGTATATGAGACAAGAATAAATTGAATTCTCGCTCATACGGCTTCATCAGGAATTGATGAATTTATTCAGTTCAATCAACAGCATCATAGAAATGCAGTGCTCCAAATGCAAAGCCGCAGCGTTAAAAAGCAACGAGCAATATCTTAAGCGCGAAGCGCAAAAGTAGCAATCTGCAATTAATGCACATCAAACAATTCTGGACAGTGTAAACATAGATGAACTCTGTGACGAATTCGTGATTAGATCGGAGACAAGGAGAAAGATTTTCGGACATTATTATGACTTATAAGATAGTTCACTAGTTGCTAAAAATAACATCCAACCATGACTTGTGTTCACTTTGATTCAAGTGATTTATAAACGTTCGTGATATCACATGATTTTCAACAAAATTTGCGTTTCTCCAGTTCTGTTGCAAACTGACACATTCCCAGATAGCCAAGAAGAGCATATATTTTGTATGGTCACTAATGGGCCTAATTAGTGACTGATATTCCAGAAGCTATTGCGACAAGCACTGCCGGGAGTCATGATACCCACCATTCAGGCTGTGCATGCAAAGATTTGCGAACGAACGTTCCATACGTACATCATAATGGGGAAACGGAATTCAGACAAGGATTAATATAGAGAACAGTACAACGAATCGTCTTCTTTCTCTAATAGTTTAGGGAAACTGCAAAATTTCCGCGCTTTGCGCGGGAGGGGGCAATTGAATTCAAACTAGGATTAAGAGCTATAATTAAATGAAACGTCAAAGTACATGATACAACGAATCGTCTTCTTTTTCTAATAATTTATGGAAACGTGATAGCTTCCGCGCTACGCGCGGGATGGGCGAAAATGATTTCAAACGTGAATTAAGAGTAATAATTAAATGAAACGTCAAAGCTTCCGCGCTTTGCGGGGGGGGGGAACTGAATTCAGACAAGGACACGATACAACGAATCGTCTTCCTTCCCCAATAATTTAATGAAACGGTAAAGCTTCCGCGCTTCGCGCGGGATGGATCAATACAGACAAGGATTAAGAGTAATAATTTATTGAACCGTCAAAGCTTCTGCGCTTTGCGCGTTAGGGAAAAAACTGAATTCAGACAAGGACACGAGACAACGAATCGTCTCCTTTCTCTGTTAATTAAATGAAACGTGAAACCTTCCGCGCTTTGCGCGGAAGGTGGGGGGGGGGGAACTGAATTCAGACGAGGATTAAGAGTCGAGAATGGTTCATCGAATCGTCTTCTATCTTTAATAATCAAATGAAACGTCAGAGCTTCCGCGCTACGCGCGGATGAAGGGGAACTTGATTCAAACAAGGATTAAGAGTCGAAAACGGTCCAACGAATCGTCTTTCTCTAATAATTTAATGAAACGTCAAAGCTTCCGGGGGAAACTGCCCCCTCCCTGCACCCAACCTCCTAGGGAGAACCTCCTAGCGAAATGATTCGCGTGCTCACTACCGCCCCCTAAAATGAAATCCTGGTTACGCCCTTGGGGAGGGGATGCAACCTGCCACACGCTTCTACCTCTTGGTTGCTTTGATCCATTGCCGAAAAATATTTTGGCACTAGCTATCATCCCCCCCCAACAACGGATACAAATCGACACCCTTGGGGCTGACCCAATGACGACGCGGATCATCGTCCACGAGCTAGCCGCGTAGTGGCGAGGCGTTTTTTTTTTATGCTGGCGTTTTTCTATGCACATCATATATTCACTTGGCAGCCAAGGGGGGGGGGGGGGGTAAACCCCCTAACCCCCCATAGATCCGTCCTTGATGGTACTCTCTCTCTCTCTCTCTCTCTCCCCTCTCTCTCCCTCCCCCTCCCTCTCTCTCCCTCTCTCTCTCTGTGGACCCGGGGGCTCAGTCTGCAGCCTCAGACTTTTGTCAGTCTATATACCACATTTTGTATACCTTACATCTATACGATAATTTGCCTATATATAAACTCTGGAATGCATCGTTCAGTACTCCAAAAATAAAAATGATCTTGCTTGGTCGCTCGATCCGTTCCCTCGCACTAACATACACCAACGTGCAAAAAAAATACTTTTTTAGCGTTGTGATTTTTATACTATAGGCAGTAGCGTACGCAGAATTAAAAAAAAAAAAAGGGGGGGGGGGTTAAAATTTGATGGCATATCTTTTAGTGACCTGGCGAGGGAGAAAAGCGAAATTGGGGGCCCTGCTTTTTCGTGGGGGCACACCGGGAAATACGACTTTATTTTTCTTCCAGTGGTGGTGGTAGTAAAAGAAGCATAAATTTTACTTTGTTTTCCACTGCGTCAAATTTTTGACGATTCATATTACAGTTATGACATTGAACATGGACAATAATGTCTTTAATGAATTAATTTGGTTACCTGAAGTGTTTCGTTGTAGCATCATGCAATTTCAGTGCTTTTCTAGAGCAGAAAAATTCCTACTTCTGGGGGCGAAATTTTGATTTTTCAGGGGGGCAAAATTGCCCTTCTAGAGCCAAAATTGCCATATTACGTTACAAAAAGCCAGTGGCGAAACTTTAATTTCTTCAAGGGGGCAAATTGTCCTTTTAGAGGGCAAAGTACCCTTCTATCACTGTCAAGCAAGGCGTGGCTTTATTATTTAGTTTGTGTTTTTTCCACTGTGTCAATTTTTTACGATTCATTTGACAATTGACAATAACACGAATGAATTTGGTTACTTCATATGTTCCATTAGGGAAACATGCATTTTGACCCCCAAGGGAACGAAACCTAGATCAGATACTTTCCTACTTAGTTACATAGAGTGCCCCGTCATTTTCATTTTTCTAATGGGACAAATGTGCCCTTGAACAAAAGAAAATTGCCCTATTCGGCCCATTAGGGATGACATCATTTTCAAGTGGCGTAAAGTGCCCCGTCATGGTCGAAAAATTCTCAGATCCATTATCGAGCCAATATCGCGTTTAATAGTTCAATGCAAACAAGAGTATCCTTCTAGAAACGAAATTGCCCAATGTGTTAATATAAAATGCCCCGTTATTGTCGAAAAAAATATTTTTCAATTCTAGCAAAGTGCCCCTTTAAAAAGAAGGTTGAGTTCTGGGAAGAGGTGAAAAATAATTTGTGAGTGTTATCATTGAATTTTGCAAGTGTGGAAGAACATCAGATAAAAAATGTTCCCTGAAAAGCATGGCTCTTCAAATGCCTTAATATTCTTAATATGGCATGTAACATCATAAAAACCGGGACGGAATTTTATGCCACATGTTCAGTTCAGTTCAGTTTAGTTCAGTTCAGTTCAGTTCAGTTCAGTTCAGTTCAGTTTTATTTTTCATTTCCAACAGAACAGTAATTTTGACAGGAAATCAGATATACAATTCAATAATATAATACATTTGACATGGTTTAAAGTTATGAAAATAGAAATTGTGCATAAATATCCAGTATAATGGTTTTTAAGAGTGTTTTTAAAAAGATAAACCTGTGGAATTAATGGATCCACTGAAAAGTAAAGCTTGTAGAATGTGGATCCCTCAAAATAATAACAAACATAATTGCTAAAACATGTAAATATATTGACTTGAAGAAAAAAAATATATACATAGATTACCAAAAAGTGGCAGAATAATAATAATCCAATTATAAATACGAAATTTGAAAACTTGTTACGACACGTATTATAGTCCCATATCATGGGTGTCGATCCGTAACTGAAACCTATTCATCAGGGGGGGGGGGGGATGATCTATTCATTCATCCCCCTGATGAATAGGTATTACGTAAGGATCGACACCCATGTCCCATATACATATTTCTGTGTACAGTGCTTGTAACTTTACCAAGACTGGGCCAAATTATCATTTTGATCATTCCAGAACCTTGCAGTACACACCTATACTTATATACTAGATGATCAACCTTTTCTAATCGATTCCACAACGTTTCTTTCACAATGCACCCGCATGACCAGAACTCAACTTTATCTTTAATCAGGGGCGAAATATCAATTATCAAGGGGGCAAAAGTGCCCTTCAAGAGCCAAAATTTCGCGGCTCATTTTGGTTACTCAAAGGGAGGGTTGAGTTTTGGGAAGGGTCAGAAAGTTCAAATAATCTAATTGAGAAATTTGATTTAAGTATTAGAAGATACAAAATATGTAAAATTACACTATTTAAGAAACCCCTTCAAAACAATTCAACCTAAAACTGCACAAAATCAAGTTTTTAGCCACATAATATGTTTTCATGCTGGTCCACCATCATTACCCCCCCCCCCCTCAAACCCTTTTTTTTCTGTGCGAAAACAGAGCAGTAAATCACAATTTCCCAAAAATTAATATTGATTAATCTTTGTGAAATTAAAAATAGCCGGGTTGAAAAATAAATTTGCTAACCCAACAAACCCACCCCCTAAAAGAAAGTAAATAAATTATATCGATGAATTTCTCGGCCCACGATTTTTTTTGATATTGGGCGCGGTCCGCGTTGTGGGTCCATTTTGGGCCATTTTGAAAAAGGGTACTTTTTCAAAATGTTTCAAAATCCTGCTATACGCTATATGGTATACTCATTTAGGGCTATTTTTCGAGCCCGCAGGGCCAGACCGGGGAAGAAAAAAAAGGGGGTAATGCTGTTCTGTGGTAATAATTGCCCATTGGCGAGACTATACCGGCCTTCGCCTGCGCTCGCCAAAGAAAGAACTTGAAAGAAAGGACTGGCTGTGCTGCCTGTGCATTAAACCCATTTGGAAGTGTACAGGTTGATGTTGTTGCTTCTCTATTGAAATAACTTTTTACATTTTAAAGTTTACATCAGAATCACAATTTGATTCATTTTACATTGTCAACAACTTAAATGGTAATCCCTATCGCACTTCAAAATGCTCAAGGGGTTACAATTTTACAACACTGGAATGTTTAGGATTCATTTTGAAACAACCGTTTAGGGGGTGAATTCGGGGTAAAACCGCGCGAAATCCTCGTTTAGAGTGTATTTTGGATTTAGAAGATGGGTGTCTGGAACACCTGTGGTCACGCATGCTTTACTATACAGTATTTCTACATGACCCCTGGGTGTTGAATACAAATGTTAAAATGGCGTACCGCACTACAAAAGCCAAGACTTATGACATCATTTAAACCCTCAAAATCGATCGGATCGATTTTAAGGCTTGATGAAACACTGCTAGTCTGTTTCCGTGTCGTTCGCCCAATCAGCTGAGAAAATAACACACCCTCAACTCTTAGACAGAGACAACCCTTGCATTATATTCATTCTTATCCTCGAAAAATAGTAGTTGGACTTGGCTAATGTTTGACTATATATGTTTATAATATTTGACTCAGTCAAAGACTGACAGAGCTGGGGGTGTTTCACAAAGATCTTGAGTTGAACTTATCTCTAAGTTGGACTTAAAACTTATGGAAAGCCGTTAGCATTTATGAAAATACCTTTTAAAACTTATTTAAAAAGGCATAAAATGTTGATTAAAATCATTCATATTTTCTATTATCAAGGAGATTTCATGTTCTTGATGTGGAATTTATAAAAATTCTAAAATACTTCAATTTTCGCTTTTTAATAAATTTTATTTTAAGGCTACAAATAGCTCTCCATAATATTTAAGTCCAACTTAGAGTTAAGTTTGACTTGTGTCAATTCAGAGTCTGTACCTGCAGACTGGTGAATGTTTGATAATATTGTTTATTATTATTATCACGGAAGTTATATATATTTTTAATCACTCTTTAGGTTTTCATGATGATGGATTTACTAATGGTAAAACGGTGGACCTTATACGAACAAACCTCATTCATGAAGCACCTCTGGTACGAGGGAGAAGATTAGCGGCCATAGCCTGGCTTGCTAACTCTAACCAGTGGTAGGGTCCATCCCTGCTCTATATAAGGATAACTCCTAGCTTACTCTGATCGATATGTCGCGAGGAAGACAATGTACTGTGATCGGAAGAACTCGACGCACACCGCTTCTACACATTACGAGCCTTACCTGTCTTAGGAATCTTTCAATTTGTACCACATATTTTCGTCGTTTGAAAAAGGTGAATATTATTTTGCAAATTAATAAGTTGCACGCATGCGTCGACTTTCAGCTATCAATATGATATGTTATTAAACACAGAACACGTTTCAGTTCGAAAAGACGACCTACATAAAATTGAAGCTTGGTTAAAATGTGCCTATTAAAGTAAGGGCATATGATTATATATATATATATATATATATATATATATATATATATATCAATTAAACAAAACAAGTTCACATAAATTCATATACTTGCACTGATATAATTAAAAAAAAATTTTTAGAACACACTAAAAAGATTTTAAGATTTTAAAAAATTCAAGCCGGACTGAAGGATTTAATGAAAAGTGTAGCTACAGAGAAAACGGCAAATTAAAGTGGATTACACAATAGAAATACAGTATAAGCACAAAATGGACAGTTTAACAAGACTAAAAGATAATGACACAATCAAACAAGCAAAAGAACAAACATAATGGGCCGGCCCTTGTTGAAAGTTGAGGAGTCCATTATATATATATACATCAGGCGCGTACGCAGGATTTTTTCAAGGGGGGGGGGGGGGGGAGGTTAACTTTTAAATCGGGCCGAAAATTTCGCAACGACTCAGCCAGCCGCTGAATAAGCGGGGGGGGGGGGGGTAAGAGGACAATTTTTTTATTTATTTATTTTTTTTTTTTTTTTTTTTGGGGGGGGGGGGGTTCGAATTTGAAAATTTGACATTTTGCTCCGTTGGGAGGGGGGGGGGGGGGTAAGGTCAACTTTACACTTTTTTCAAAGAAGAATGTCGGGTTTAATTTATGAAAACTTGCAAAGATGATGATAATTGAATATCAAATGGTAATGTATTAAGCTGTGGAAATTCAAAGTAAGACAACGAGCGTTAAAAAAAATAATAAGTTAGGGGTTTGTGTATAAATAATGGGCTATTGAGATGAGGGCATATTTGGATACAAATGTATTTAAATACTAAGGAGCAAGATTGTTTACAATTGTCTGAACATTTACACAGCATTGGTACATTACTCTTTCTTCAACATTTTGCCATCTAAGGTTATGCATCAAAGTAGCACTCGACGTATTGAAATCAGCACTTTAAACTAATCTTGCATATTTATTTTGACTTCTTTGTAGTTTTGTCATGTATTATTGCGTACACGTACCCCATACACGTCAACAGTAGTCTACATGAGGTAAAAGACAAGTGAAAAGTACAGCTGAATCATGTTTCGCCTCGTCAGACATGATCTGATTCTTCGTACGCATGCTACAGTACGCGATATTTTCCGGACTACTTCATTAATATGCAACTACCAATTAAGACTTTGTTGAAGAACAACACCAAAATACTTAATGTTAGTTAAAAATTGTACATACTGACCTTGTATTTCTAACTTCAACTCATAATTCTGTACTTTTCTTTGAGAGCCAAATAATGTAGTTTTAGTTTTACTAGAATTTATCTTATATATATATATATATATATATATATATATATATAAAAAATATATATTCTCTTTTTTTTCAAGCAACACTTAATGATAATAATATATTTTTAATACCTTCAATAGGTAATATATATTATGTTTTCTCTATCGTTTTGTTTTATATTCGAAGTATAGGCCTTGAAAATAGGTTCCAGAATACTAATCTCACAATATCTGCATTTAGATGGTCTATTGAATCTGATCATCATCAGATTCTCATGTCACTATTTTACACTTGAATAAACACTGGCTGCTTTAGAAAAGCTCGCAAAAAGAGCTTTTTTTTTCCCGCAAAAAACGACAACAAATAAGACGAAACGAAATAAAAGAGTAAGGGGTAAGAGCAATTTTTTTCCCCCGAAAATTAGAAAATTAGGCTGGCCGATATTTCGTACAGTGAGGGGGGGGGGGGGGGGGGTTATCCTCCAATACCCACACATTAAACAAAATTGAGGGGGGGGGGGTTACCCTCCCCGTCCGCGCCTGCACGTACGTACGTTAAGCGTCGCATATTATGATTTTTTTTTTCTGCACTAAATTTTCATTTTCATCTCAATTATATTGACTTAAAATATCGAGGAAAGAAGATGTACGAAAGATGTTCAATTTTAAAAGAGAGAGAAAGAAAATATTTTTTGCAATTTGGTTCTTTTGTTTTTGTCACATCTCTTACACAATTTTCATGAGTTGCTGTTTGGAGCAAGAGGAAAACATGGAGTACAGTGAATGTCGAATCTTTTGCACCTCCACGTTTATTAGAAAAGAAAGCATTACTTTTGTCGATGAATATGTTTCCTTTCCTTAAAGGGAAAGTGCACCCCCAAAATAAGTTTGTTTCGATAGAGGCAGAATAATAAGAAAATCAGGTGAGTGAAAGTTTGAGCAAATTCTGAATGAAAATAAGAAAGTTATGAATTATTGAAGTTGTGATCAATCAAATACAAATTGGCAACTCTGTGACTTATTATACGAGCTCTCCTTCATTTGCTTTGTGCATAATATTCCATAAAATCATGTTTTCTTCGTTATTGATGACGGAATATATATTTGTTCCTTGCAGGGGGAGTATAGAAACATATTTGCAATTATTATATTTAGGGTGCATGTATGGTTGAAATTTTTCTTGAGGGAAAATGAAAATTTTAGATTTTTTTAGTACTGAGCAAATGGAAGTTGAGCTCGCATGATACGTCATAGAGTTGCCAATTTGTGTTTGATTGATCACAACTTCAAAAATCCTAACTTCCTTATTTTTAATCGGAATTTGCTCAAACTTTCACTGACTTGTTTCTCTCATTTTTCTACTCCTATTAAAACTAACTTAATTTCAGGGTGGACTTCCCCTTTAATTTCTAATTCACCATGCATCACTTTGTTTCTTGTGTCTTGAGACTTTAAAGATAAATTGGAAATATGAAGAAAAAACAAACATGCAAATGATCGGATCTCTAATTCCTGTCACTGCATTCAATCATTCCAACACTATCCAGACAAAATTATAGTGATGCAGATCATCTGCAATGATGGATGGGCTGGTAGTGATAGCTCAGTGGCGTATCCAACATTGGGTGAAGGCAGTGTAGATTACTTCTTGAAGGGCCAAGAAAAACCTAATGGAACTTGCTATAGGGGTGCAATAAATGAGCAGACCAGATACTTTAACTGAACCTCTTGTCTCGGGAGGATGCCATCCCTCTTCTTTATCAGTTTCTGGATATGCCACTGGGGTGAGGAGCGTACGCGGGGGAGGGGGGGGGGGGGGGGGGGGGGGGGGGGGGGGGGGGGGGAGGACACTTTTTTTTTGGCCTCGAAATTTGGAAATTTGACATTTTTTTCCGTTGGGGGGGGGGGGGGGGGTAAGGTAACCTTTTTTAGGTCAGCCATGGGCATAATTTTTTTTTTTTTTTTTAAATAATTAAAAAAACACAAAAACAAACAAAAACAAGGGGGTTTAGGTTTTTGTTTAGGGGGGGAAGGGGAAGGTTCAACCCCCCCCCCCCCCCCCGTGTACGCGCCTGACTGGGGTAATGCACAGCTAGGTTTAGGGCTAAAGATCAAAATGTTCTACGCAATTATTGATAGTTAACAGAGCACATGAAATAATCGCCTGATTTCTACATTTATCCAATCCAAGCCTGAAAGATATTTACGCAAATACATTTTCTCCTTTCAGAATCCATTGCGACTACACCATGAAGCGGAAGTGTCTATCCCCCAGATCGTCGGTGGCAGCCATCTGTATCTGCTTCATTCTGATTATGATCTTCGCTTTGAGTGGCAACAGTCGACAAGGAGAACAGTTACTGGGGAGTCCAACTCACCGTGTTTCAGGTTCTCGCCATGTTTCACAGTTGACCCTGAACAGTCGACAAGGAGAACAGTTACTGGGGAGTCCAACTCACCGTGTTTCAGGTTCTCGCCATGTTTCACAGTTGACCCTGAACAGTTCACAACATCCTTTCACTCTCTTTCAGAGCAGATGGAGCTGCAAAAATGAGAGAGCGATCAAGACAAGAAACCTGGATTGCAAAAGCCGGTTGCCTGATGTGATCGGTATAGGTGCAAAGAAATGTGGAACCGGTGCGCTCGAATTCTTTCTTCGCGGGCACCCAGCTCTACACATAGCGGCTGTTGTAGAGGCCCATCAATGGGATTGGCACCCGACAAGGAGTATCGAAAAGTATCGACAACTAATGCCCAGAACTTCACAGTATCAATTGACCATGGAGAAAACGCCAGCGTACTTTGTTGCAGACGACATACCTGCCGCGATAGCGCGGGACGTTTCACGCGATATCAAGCTCTTGCTTATCCTGCGAGACCCCGTAAAACGCGCCATTTCTGACTACACTCACATCTTGGACGTGTTCCCGAAAATGGCGCGTAAACAACGGTACGGCACCAGGAGACGGGGAAGGGTACCAAAGTACCCTCAAGCAAACATATCTTACGTCATAGAAGACACATTTGAAACCAGCGTACTAAACGAAGACGGTACAGTGAACGCCGATAATGCCATCATCTTTACAGGGTTGTACTCACGCCATCTCCGTAATTGGTTCAAGATTTTCCCTCGCAAACAGATACTTATACTGGATGGTGATTTGTTTTCTAAGAATCCACTACCTCAACTCCAAGCCACCGAATCGTTCTTGGGGCTGCCAAAATACTTCGACGCCGACAAAATATATTTTGATAAAGCCAAAGGGTTTTTCTGTCTGGCAATGCCATATAAGCTCTGCATGGAAAGAACTAAAGGCAGAAAGCACCCTAAAGTGAAAAGAGATACTCTTAGAAAATTGTACACATTTTATGAACCATATGATAAAGAACTTGAGATTCTAACGGGAAGGAATTTTTCATGGATGAATCTCAACAATGATGAAGTCACTGGTTGATAATAAACTTTTTAAATCTTTCAGTTTCCAAGCAGCTTGACAAAATTATATAGGCTATATATTTATTTATTCGCTTATTAATTCGTTTATTTATTTAGTCTTATATTACCAGGATGGATTCAACAGTGACATGGACACTGCTTACAAGAATTCTCTGCAAATTAACAAATTATGGACAGTATTATACAAGATATAGACTTTATAACAAAAAAATTGATCCCAAAAAATAATTTATTAGTCACACAAAAATATACGAGACCAAAAAAAAAAACAGATTCTAACTCAGCCAGTATAGATCAAGTGTCAATCATATTTTAATCATTTTCAAAATCAAACTCGGGTTCCATACACATTAGTGTAATATCTGTCTCTTCAATGCAAATTTTTAGACTTTTATCATTTGAAATCATACAATCTTGAATAATGTTAGATAATCATGTCATTCAAATTTAATAGATAATATAAAACCATAGCTTACAATGTTGATGCAGCAATTTACCTTATATCTCTGAATCTTCCCATTATATACATTTTATTGCTATATGTATTTGAACTCTTTTCTCATTTATACTTATGGTAGACTAGATGTAGTAAATAGCAAAATGGTAGAATGTAATATGCTATAATTCTATGACCATACAATGTCATGTATATAAATATATATATATATCATATATATATATATAATGATGATGTAAACAACGGTTTAAAAAAACAAAAAAACAATTTGTTCACTATTCATCTGTTACAGTTATACTTGATATACTATGCAGTTTTTTCATTATGAAATGATCATGCAGAATACTAAAAAACAACATATTTTTCTTCTTTCTTATTAAATTGATTTTGGTTTCTACGTCCATTTTATTTTAAAGGACAGACATGAATAGAAAAATCTTAAATACATTTAAAAACAAAAAAATTTAAGTATAATAAAAGTTGAAATCATTGTATTCAAGAGGTAGTATGCAATTAAGTGGAGAACTTGTAATTTTTTTACTCTACGCATCTACTTTTATTTCATCTACGAATTCTGCATTTGGGTAAAATCACATCATCAAATGCTCTTCAACATTTTACTCCGTTTTTTTATCGGATTGATTTTTGTAATATTTCTTTTTCAATGTAAAGTAAATGTTTATGAATTATGTATTATAATCCTCTTGACGTTATCATTGCTGTTGAATGTTTATATTCATTTTTATAAATGAATCTTGAATATCAGAAATGAATTATTGATTTGTTAGTTTTCTGTGAACTCAACAGTTCAACAATACTTGTATCTTGAGAAGCCAATTTTATTTATGTTATAAATGTAAATTACCTTGAATATATATATTTGTTAATTTGTTTCAAATGAAAATCAATAAAATCCTTGTGGAGGGAAATATCTGAAGAGGAAAATATCATATTTTGTTACAAATTCCGTCATAGAGTCCATACTACCTGCTTGTTACAAACTCTTTAGATAACCGGTGCAACAAGTCTGTTTGGTTTGGACATTTCAGACTTATCTTGGCTCGCAGTCGGGTTAAGGAGTAAAGGATTAAGGAGCATCAATTTTTTTTCCAGAGAAAAAAATTTGATGGGGGGGGGGAGGGGTTTAACCCCCAAAACATCCCCCTGTGTACGTGCCTGAAATGAGGTGTAGTGATCGTTTCCAATCACTATATTAATTGTAATCAGTTTAGTGATAACCAAAATTACTTATGTCTATGATTTCATCCTGTTCCACTCCTCAGCATCGAATTTTAAAAGGGATAACAATTTGATATTTTTGTCTTCTTCCAGTTTGTTTGTAAATTATAGAATGACCCAGAAGAGCTTCAGTGGGTTTGTGCTATTTGACATGCTATGTTACTCCAACTTACCCACCTGTCACTTCTACAGATAGGTATTTGAGCTAAGAATAATATTGTATAGGGATCACTGTCATTCAGAAATAAATATTTTTGACCAGTTCTCAAATATGGAAATATCAATTTTCACTTCAGGATGATAATATTGCACTGTAAAACCCATTGACAATCTACATACGAAAGCTGGGGGTGAACCCACTTATGTTCCTACCAAATTTTAGAAATATCCTTAGGTAACTATACTCTTGTTATGTAATAAATGTTTTTTCTGATACACATGTCACATAATTTGTTTTCGTTAATTTTTGAGACCTCCACAGGCTATTTATTAATAATCTTCACACAAATAAACAGATCAAATATGTATGTGCATGTTTAAACACATTCAAAATAATCTTGCTATACAAACAACAATTGTAGAAACTGCCACTTTACAGCAAAATGTCTTTCCATTCCAGATAGATGTACAATATATTTCTCCTCTTTATAATATTGTAAAACTTTCTTTTTCAACATATCAAAAAGTGAAAAAATTCAAATTTGAGCTCTATCATAATAAGAATAATATAGTGCATAGTAATCATTGATGACAATCTTCTATGCGCTTTACATTGCTACATTCATACAACTTACATTATCACATACAAATCACATATTAGGCCTACATTATTACATACAAATCACATATTAGGCCTACATTATTACATACAAATCACATCAAATGATATTCTACTAAAACAAATATTCATACTTTGAAACTAGATAAGTTTTGACAGTAGTCTTAAACATTGCAAGTGAGTTAATTTTTTTTCTTCTAAAGTTAGAGAATTCCAGAGTACAGGAGTGGAGACTGAAAATGCTCTGTTGTGACATACCTCTTTGTGTTAGTAGGCGTAACAGAAAGAAGATATTGTGAGGACAATCTGAAGTTGCGTCTTTTAAATGTTAAATGAAAGGCACTGAACAAGCAAAGGCTAGATACACCATTTATACAAATATTTTAACTAAAACAATACGATTAGGAAAGAAAACTTACTTTATGAACCAGTTAACTTTATATAAGAACGATATTCAAAACACATGGAAGATTTTAAACAAGCAATGAACTTATCCAATAACAAATCAGATATTACTAAAATAAAATTATTATACTTGTTGTTTTTTATGAACCACATGTGGAAATAAACTTTGAACTTGAACTAGGTATTATTATTATTAATGATGATATTGTCGAAGATCCTGAAAATTTAGCTAATACTTTCAACAATTTTTTTCCTTAATAGGGACAAATTTGGCTGATGGTATTCCTACTTCTACCAAACATTTCTCTGATTACCTAGGCACACCCCACCCCAATACTTTTTTCTCACTCCTATAGTTAAAGAAGATATCATTGATACTGTATCTAATTTGAATAACAAAAACAGTCCCGGCTATGATGATATTAATAATGTTATTCTAAAAGGTGTAATATCTTCTATTGTTAATCCTTTAGTACACATTCTTAATCTATCGTTACTTTAATGGACAAGTCCCAGATAACATGAAAATCGCAAGGGTCATACCAATGTACACAAAGGTGATAAGTTGAATGTCAATAACTATCGACCAATTTCTTTACTACTCTTCTTGTCGAAAATTCTAGAAAAAGTTGTTTATCCTAGAACTGTTAACTTTTTAAAAACTCACAAGATTTTTTCCAACTTTCATTTTGGATTTAGAGAAAAACATAATACAGAACATGCCTTATTGAATTTCATTGACAAAGTAGCGCATGCTTTAGACAAAGGATCTCACCCGGTTGATATCTTCCTGGACTTCTCCAAGGCCTTCGACATCATCAATCATGACATCTTATTATTCAAACTTTCTCATTATGGGGTGCGTGGGAAGGCCTTGGAGTGGTTCAGGAGCTACTTATCCAATAGACGACTATACTTATTCTTGAACTTCCAATATGCAAAACGTAAATTGTGGAGTACCGCAGGGAAGTTTGTTGGGGCCTTTATTGTTTAGCATTTATATAAATGACTTTTGTAAATCATCCGATGTCATTTCATTTATACTTTTCGCAGACGATTATTATCTATTTTATTCCCATAGACAATTCAAATAATTTAGTCAATGTTTGTAAATTCTGAACTTGAAAAAGTCCCCCGATGGATGAGAGCTAATAAACTATCCCTTAAAGCCCCACTTTCCTACTTGTAGCTACTTGCTCCCTCTATATAGAAAACTTCCCTATCGGTGCCTGTTGGTCCCCCATGATCCTCTATTTCTTATGTTATTTGAGAGCTAGTGAGTTGATGAGATAGCCACCTGTCAGTGACCTCGCTGTGTGGTCTAATCCCTCCTAGCCACACTAGTGTTGATAAGCTTTAACCAAAAAACCTAATATATGTTATTTAGTAATTCTATAGACACACTGCCCATGACTATCATTTTTGACGATACCCCCTTGGAAGTTGTTTCATTCATTACATTTCTAGGCCGAACTGTTGATAACAAACTTTCGTGGAAATACCATAAAGATAATACATATAAGATCATTTCACGGAATATTGGCATAATAAATAAATTTAAATTTCATTTTCCGACATCATCCCTACTTATGCTTTATTCAACTTTAATTTTACCATATCTGAATTATGGGATACTTGCTTGGGGCAATACACAGCAAACTCTACTTAAATGAAGTCTCTCCGTATTATCTACAATTCTGCAATACTCTCACACACAGACCCGTTATTTGTTAATAGCAGACTATTAAAAACAAATGACCTGTATCTATTTCACTTAGGACAATTCATATACAAGTACAATAGAAAGACCCTTCCACAAATATTTGATGCCATGTTCCCCCTGAAATCGGTCATTTCATGATTACTCAACTAGACGGTCAAACGAGTTTCACCTACCACTCTTTAGAACTTTATTAGCGAAGAAGTCTTAGGATTGATGGTCCTAGATTTTTGAATTTTCTAAGTAAAGGTATTAAAAATAGCTCATCCCTAGATTCTTTAAAGAAAAAACTACAATCATTTTTGCTCAAATCTTATAGTAATATACGAGCATAATCTGATAACAGTTGGTATAAATCATTATTTAGGTCTTCATCATCTGCTCGATTAATTCAATATTTATTTGGTTTAAAAGACCGTCAATACTACTGGGCCAGAAGGGATTAGACCACACAGCGAGGTCACTGACAGGTGGCTATCTCATTAACTCAGCTCTCAACTGAAAAGAGGATCATGGGGGACCAACAGGCACCGATTGGGGAAGTTTTCTATATAGAGGGAGCAAGTAGCTACAAGTAGGACAGTGGGGCTTTAAGATCTTACCTTCCCAGAATCACCAATATAACTACCTCTTCTTCGGTCATGATTTATCCTGCTTCTTCCTTCTTCCTCCTTCCCCCTTTTCCCTATTCCTTCTTCTTATCTGTTTTACTTCTCCTTGTCGTTTTGTGGTTGTTTGTTGTTTTATAATATTGTCTTGTGTTTTCCAAGTCCTCGTAGGCATAATTTGAAACAATTACATTTTTTCTGGGGGATCCACGAACTACAAGCACTGCTTTTTAGTGGACCCCCCCCCCTTTTTCTCAGAAATTAAGAATTTCTTGTAATAATTTTATTATGTGCAAAGTGTATTTCTATAGTTACCAACAACAAAAAAGAATTATGTATGAAAAAAATGTAATACCTTTGTTTATATTTCAATTCCATTGCCTTTGTGTATAACGATTTGTACATGCCAATTTATACTGGCCTTTACATAGTATATAACTAATGTTTTTATTTTTTCTTCTTCATTTTTGTAATTAATTAATTTAAAATTTTGATATCCTATTTGTTATTAGCTTGTCTAGTGGTACCTCTGTCCTATGCCTCTCTCTGACTATTTTCATCAGAATAATGCATCTTATCTATTAGAAAATCAATTTCAGGAATATATGAGTAATGTTGACAGCATGTCGACTTTCTCCAGCATTCATTTTAACTGTCGAAGCCTTCGGAAAAATTATGGTGGAACATTTGATTACATTGACACACTTTCACACAATTTTGATATTGTTGGTTTAACTGAAACCTGGATAAACGAAAATGAAGATATTTCTATATTCATACCAAAAAAGTATTCGTTTGTACATTATGGAAGACCGATGCGTCGAGGAGGTGGTGTTGGAGTTTTAGTGAATGAAAATATTAATTTTTTTCAAAGGTCAGATTTGTCATTTACTTGTGAAAGTCTTGAAATGGTGTTCATTGAAATTCCAAACAAACGTGACAGAAATGTGCTAATTGGGGTTATTTATAGACCACCTAATCAATCTATCAATTCTTTTCTGGAAGTAATAAGTCCTGTTTTGTCAAAAATTCTTAGAGAAAAAAAAATGTTATCTGTTATCTGTTATAATGTTGATCTTATGAAGTTGGATTCAACCCCAAACATAAATTATTTTCTTGAATTGATGCTCTTAAATTGTTTTTATCCTGCCATTTTAAATCCAACAAGAATTACTACAGATACAGCATCACTTATTGATAACATCTTCTCAAATTCTCGAGATAATATCTTGAAGGCTGGAATTCTTTTGACTGATATAACCGACCACCTGCCAATCTTGGAATGAACCTCTACACGAGTCACAGGAATCTTTTTACCGTAGGAAGATATCTGAACTTGGTATACAAATGTTCATTGCAAATTTTCATGCAATAGATTTTAATGACTTTTATGATGAACCTAATATTAATGTAAAATATGATATATTTCTACAATCCTTTATGAAACTGTATAATGAATGCTTTCCTTTGAAGAAAGTCTATGTAAAAAGGAGTAGTTGCATTAGACCTTGGTTAACTAATGATTTGAGAAAGAGGTGTAAAAAGAAAAACAGGTTATATAAGAAATTCATTCTGAATCCATCTCCTTACCGTGAGAGCAATCATAAACACTTTAGAAATTCTTTGAACAACGACATTAGGCATGCAAAGCAAGAATATTTTTATAAAAAATTCCATACTATAAAAAGTGATATAAAAAAAGACTTGGAAATACTTGAATGAAATCATAAAGCAAAAAAAGCAAAACAATAGTCCTGACTATATTATTGAATATAACATAAAGATAACTAATAAACTTGAAATGTCAAAGGAATTTAATGAATATTTCAGTACAATCGGCAGTTCTATTGGGAATCAGTCGATACCTTTGCTGAGAACAGATTTTAAACATTATCTCACAGGCAATTATGTTAACTCTCTATTTCTTAAACCTGTAACTGAATCAGAAATAATTAATTGTGCTAAAGAATTGAAAGTGGGTAAAAGTGCGGGATACGATAATATAGATCCAACATTTGTTAAAAAGACCATATTTTTGTATACAAAGCATTTGTGCTGTCTTTTTAACGAATCCTTTATCTCTGGAACAATACCAGACCAACTAAAGATTGCCAAAGTAGTTCCTATATATAAAAGTAAGGGTAAAGAGTGTTTAGACAACTATCGATCAATATCTATCTTGCCAGTATTTTCCAAAATTTTAGAAAAACTTGTCTACAGAAGACTCATTGACTATATTGATAAAAATAATATATTGTTCTCAAAACAATTTGGATTCAGGCAGAAATATTCAACCTCGATGGCTTTAATAGAATTCATGAATTATGTATCCCGTGCCATAGAAAGCAAACTGGTTTTAATTGATATCTTTCTTGATCTTTCTAAGGCTTTTGATAGTGTCAATCATTCATATTTGTTACAAAAACTTTCATTTTATGGTATTAGAGGTATTTCCTTGAATTGGTTTGAAAATTATTTGAATAATCGTAAACAATTTGTTATTATTGATCAACAGTCTTCTGATTTATGTAACATTGTGACTGGAATTCCTCAAGGGAGTATCCTTGGCCCCCCATTGTTTCTATTATTCATTAATGATCTTCATTATGCTTCTAGTAAACTGTCCGTTATATTATTTGCTGATGACACAAATATGTTTTTGTCTGGTAAATCTGTTCAGCAACTGAATAGGGATTTGAAAACAGAATTGGAGAAGGTTTCATGCTGGTTTTATGCTAATAAATTAAAGGTCAACATGACTAAAACTAATTATATGGTGTTTAAAGGTAGAAATATCAATTTCGATGTTGATGAATTACATGTGCAATTAAATGATGAATATTTATCCAGAGTCTGTTCAACAAAATGTTTAGGAATATATGTAGATGAAGGCTTAAACTGGAAGACACATGTTAACCACATTGCCTCCAAGATTTCAAGTGCTATAGGTATTCTTTATGTTGTACATAAATTATTTCCTTTGCCAATCTTATGTAACCTTTATAATACATTGCTGCTCCCTTACTTGTCGTATGCAAATATTGTTTGGGGTAACTGCTCAGTAACCCTTCTGAATAGACTTTTAGTTCTTCAAAAGAAAGCCATACGCTTGATAACCAAATCTTCCTACCGAGCACATACTGCACCCCTATTTAAACGGATGAATATTTTAAATGTTAATTCTATATATATTATGCAGCTTGGTCAATTCATGTTCCAGTACAAACATAACAACTTGCCAGCTGTCTTTGATGACCGTTTTATTCTGAACTCTTCTATTCATTCATATGCTACAAGAAATGCAAATAGTTTCCATATACCCATAGCTAGGACTTCTTTTTTTTTTACAAAAACGGATACCCTTCAATGGAGTCATCTTCCACCTGACATCAAGCATTGTTCTTCATTGTATTCTTTTAAGGCTAAGTTAAGATTATTCCTGTTAAGTAACCCATCCTTTACATCATTCACATATAGGTAGATGCAACCCCCCCCCCTGTCTTTGATATTTTTCTCCCTCTTCTTTCTTGTTATTGGTACCACCTCATAATTTTACCTTATATTTACTTTTAAGTTTTAATTGTATATATATATATATTTTAAATTATTGGGGGTAGTCCTCGACAAATCATTTTTGATTTTTGACTACCCCTTCCACATTTGCTGATTTGTTTCTTTTTAAAACATACATTACTCCAACTGGAGTCTTTCTATATAATATATTGTACATGTTCTATTATTGTATTGTATGTATGTATTTTATTCTATGTAGCTCCCTATGTTTTGCATTTGTGGAGAAATAAATTGAACTTTGAACTTTGAACTATATCATCATTGTGTTTATTGTTATTTATATGTTTTATATTTGGTAAATAAAATAAAATAAAATACAATTAACACCATTAACAATGTATCACATTTAAATCTTTTAAAAACATACTGAGAGGTTTTACCAAATAAAATTGCGACTCCCCTTGCATTGGATGATTAATAAGAAAAAATACCTTTCCTCCCCATTCTTTTAAAATGTCTTCTTCTAATTCCAAAACAAAATTAGTATCTTGTAAACAATAAATGTCTGCCTTTTAAAAAAAATAATCAAATACATCTTTCCTTTTTCTTAAATCCCTTAGTCCACGGACAATTCAGAGAAAGGATTTTAATTTGTTCCTTACTCATAAAAGACGAATTTGACGATTAGCATAATGATTAGCACAATATTTAATACATATACATAATCAACATACTTTGAAAAGAATTATCATCTTGAGCTAGTTGTGGAGGATTTTTTAAACACAATAACACAACACAACACTTCACATACATGTGCAACAAAAACACAAATTGATTTCCAGCTCTGAGTGCAACATCGTGCTACTCCCGAGGAAAAATGTTAACATACTACGCGAGCTTTCCATACTTTCAATATACATTTATTATATTGAGGATTGTTCAGTCACATAATGACTACTCTATCATTGATGCATGCACGGCTTATGCTAGTATCCTTTTAGTTCAATTTTGTTTGACTTTAGATTTTTTCTTTAGATCTCCGTTGACGATTAAAGCATGAACATTATTTTCATGCTCTTTTTCCGTGGAAAGTAGTCGTTATAAGGCCTATACCAAATCACTTTGAAGGCGTATGTATATACGAAACAACATGTATGAACAAAATATCCTCAAAACAGGGGCAGCTGTATTCGAGCAGTGGATGGAAAATGAGTTACGTTAGGGTGGGTTATATTGCTGGTAACTTCTTGGTTATATCCAATAATTACGACCCAGCAGGGCATTTTACAGCATCGAATCCTGGATCGTATGCGGTATAGGCCTAATGATCTGTAAGCAAAATTAACATGCATCAGGCCAAATATATATAATGTGAACACAATTTTACGATTCCGTAAAGATACAGTCTGTGGATAAGGGCCAACATCAGTGCACATATGGTTTGCAGACACAAGCTAGGGATCTTCCTACACAAACCCTTCTCAGTCGTAATGTTGACACAACTAGAGACTAACAGAGCAAAGCTCTGCTCATATCAAGACTGAATTGGTTTCAAATCAGAGTCTTTGTTTGCTTACTGGTGAATGTTTGCTCAAGGAAGTTATATAATCACTCTTTAGGTTTTCATGATTACTCTGGGTTTCCTATGGGTAAAGCAAACTTCATTCATAAAGTGCGAGTGCTAGTACGAGGGAGAAGAAGTGTAGCGGCCATAGTTAGCTTTTTTGCCCTACAAGTCTACATGATAACTCTCTTGTAGTCTAGCTAACTCTAACCAGTGGTAGCTAGGTGTAATTATGCTGTAACTATGGACCTACCACGGATAACTCCTAGCTTGCTCTAACGCTTCTAGTTCTACACCCGGATCGTGAGCTAGCTACATGTAGCTTAATTGTCTTATTATTCTAACTTTGGAATCTTTCCATTTTGTACCACATATTTTCATCTTTTGAAAAAGGTGAATATAATATGCAAATGAATAAGTTGCACGCGTGCGTCGACTTCCAGCTATCAATATTCAATGCGTTTTAAGGACAGAGCTAGCTATAAATCAGCTGGAGAGATACTTTAGAGCAAAGGAGATAGGTTTATAGCAGCTCAGACCGTCGTCCAGCCTCTGTATAAACAATAAAACAGGCTATTCAACAGATAATTCGGGATCGTTGCATAAAATAAACTGAACTGAACTAAACTGAACTGATCTGGACTCCTTTACCCGAATGAAGCTGCTGCTGTTTCTGAAAGAAAACCAAGAAGCTCAACATCACATGTATGTAAGTGGTAAGTAAAACCTCTGCAAATGGCAAGCCAGGTGCAGGATAGTTTTCCATAGATCCGAACTTGGTCCTGGGTAAAAGCACATTTTTTTTTTTTTTTTTATTTATTTATTTTTTTTTGGGGGGGGGGGGGTTCCTCCAAAACACACATTATAACACAAATTGAGGGGGGTTCGATCCCCAACGCCCTCCCTGCGCTCTCACCTCAGCATTCTTGTACGCGCCTGGGTGAGAGGGATGTACGTCGAACATGTAGAATCTTCTCGTGGTGATATATTGAATAAGGCAGACTAATGGGACATGGTTGCTACTCGGAGTTTCACACCTTGCAAGCGATCATCAGGCAACTGATAGAATTCTTAAAAATACATGATTACTCTACAATCTGGGTACAAATACGCTCAACATATTAGACTTAACTCATACTTTACTTTAATACACGATGTTGTAGGTCTAAGCTTGTTTATCGATCCAGGATCCATCCATGGTTACTGATTTTTGTGGAGGGAGGAGATAGTGTGTGCTAACATTAGACAACAAAACAATACAAAACAATAAGTATTAGTCATGGGGGAAGGGGCTATTGTAATTACTCAGGTACTGTGCTGGATTTCTAAACATGTAGGTAATGGGAGGGGGTATCGCAGAAGAGTCTCCACTAAGATGCTAGTACATAAATATGTATTTATTTATTTAAGTATAGTCTCTTTTGAAGTTGCAGAGATAGAATTTGTTTTCATGGCGGCATATGGAGATGAGTTCAGGTATTTTGTTCAAGAGTTCAGTTTCTCGTCGTTGATGAAGCTTCTCGGTTAGGCGCAGGTTGCATTTCTTCGTTCCACTGGAGTACGCTTGGGCCTTGTTCGAGATTGACCAATCGATGGTGAATGGGGCGCTTTGCTGTTTAAGTTGGGAGATGTAAGAGTTCTGTGCTGTACCTCAGCTTGAACGGGGGCTCGGTGAGTCCAATATACTGCTTAGGGCTTTCTCTACCGGAGACTTTGGAACTGGAGATGATGCTGCCGGCCTGGCAGTTTCCTTGTAGGGGGGTACATATTCTTTTTTCGGCAGTTGCAGGTTTTCGGCTTGGTTTGGTCGTCCGTGGATGAAATTTGCTTGTTGTCAGGGGCGTCGCTAGACCTTTTTGGGGGGGGGGGGGGGGGGGGGGGGGATGTAGAGGCCAACGATCACCGACAAAACTATATTTTAGCCACCAATTACCGACACAATAAAATGTCCCAATATCTACAAATTTAACCATAGAAATCCGGGGCCGAAGGCTAAATTGTTTTTCCTATGAACTATCTATAATACTTGCATATGCGCAAATGGTCATTTTCCTCGACGACATAAAAATACGAATTATTTAGTCAGCATCATAGCTTTATATTTGAATGCAGGCGCGTAGCTAGGATCTAATTTTAGGGAGGGGCGGTAGTGAGCAACCGAATCACTTAAAGGGGCCGGTGGGTGAAAGGCCTCCCGCGCGAAGCGCGGAAGCTTAGACGTTTCATTACATTATTAGAGAAAGTAGACGATCGGTTGTACCGTTCTCGACTCTTAATCCATGTCTGAATGAAGTTTTCCCCCTCCCGCGCGAATCGCGGAAGTTTTGACGCTTCTTTAATTATTATAGAAAGCAGATGATTCGTTGTACTGTTTTCGACTCTATATCCTTATCTAAATTCGGTTTTCCCCTCCCGCGCAAAGCGCGAAAGCTTAGACGTTTCCTTAAATTATCAGAGAAAGAAGACGATTTGTTGTACCATTCTTGACTCTTAACCCTAATTCTCTGAATTCAGTTTCCCACCTCCTGCGCGAGGCGCGGAAGCTTTGACATTTCATTTAGTTATTATAGAAAGAAGACGATTCGTTGTACCGTTCACAACTATTAATCCTGGTCAGAATTCAGTTTCCCCCTTCCCGCGCGAAGCGCTGAAGCTATGACGTTTCATTGAATTATTATAGAAAGAAGACGACTCGTTGTACCGTTCGCGACTCAACCCTAATTCTCTGATTTCAGTTTCCCCCCTCCCGCGCGAAGCGCGGAAGCCTTGACGTTTCCTTAAATTATGAGAGAAAGCAGACGATTCCTTGTTCCGTTCGCGACTCTTAACCCTAATTCCCTGAATTTAGTTTTTGCGCGAAACGCGGAAGCTATGACGTTACCTTAAATTATGAGAGAAAGCAGACGATTCGTTCTACTGTTTTCGACTCTTAATCCTTATCTGAATTCAGCTTCCCCCTCCTTCAATTTCCTTAAATTATTAAAGATAGAAGACAATTCTTTGTACCGTTCTCGACTCTCAATTATTGTCTAAATAAAGTTTTCCCCTCCCGCGCAAAGCGCGGAAGCTTTGGCGTTTCATCAAAATATTAGAGAAAGGAAGACGATTCGTTGTAACGTTGTTGACTCTTAATCCTTGTTTGAATTTAGTTTTCCCGACAATTTTAAACCTCTGATTTCTTTAGCTAATATTATAGGAAAGTGAAACTTCGAGAAAATACAAGTATTGTAGTTGTAGTCACTCTCGAAGTCGTCACAGCGGATAAAAAGTCAAAGTTCGTGGGGATAAAAAAACTTGTCGGCCGACCGTCGTTATCTATCTCCCCGACCTCAAACTTCTGCATTTATATAGTACACGATGATCGAGCAAGAATACCGACACAGCTGACCCGACACAGCAACGTATTTACGTGTATGCGTGTCTTTCTTGCTCCCTCGACGAGACGACTCCACCCAACAACCCCCATCTCTCTTTTACTCCCACTCCTCCTCTCTCAGGCTCTTACCTCCCCCTTTCTCTCTTTTCTTTCACCCCCGCCGTATCTTTTGTTTCCCTTTTCTCTTTTTTCCTTTTATTTCATTTCTTTCTTTTCCTTTCTTTCCTTTCTTTTCCTTTCTTTCCTTTCTTTTCTTTCCCTTCCCTCTCTTTTTTCCCTCCCCCTTTTCTCTTTTTTTCCCGACGGCAGCGCAATTTTACCGACAATATCCTGACAGTATGGGGGGGGGGGGGGGTGTCGCACCCGACATCCCCCCCTTTGGAGACGCCCCTGGTTGTGCGCCTTTATGATGCTAGCGACATTAAGCATACAACTGTAACTGATTTTGAGCGAGCTTCTATTGAATATTTTGTTGAATTTTGAATTCTTTGGGAAGTGCTTGTCAACAAGCCTCAGGAACGATCTGCCGATGTTGGTTATGACGCTTTTGTTGAATGGAGGGTTGAACCAGATGATGTTTCGCGATCGTTTATGGTTTTGTCTTCTCCTTGTCGGACGCTCCTTTGTGAAGGTGAGAGTTTCAGTAAATTCACTGGATTTTAGGGCATCGTTGAAAGTCTCTTCATCGCATGAGATGTCTGCTATTCGGCGGCTTATCGACGCTGGGAGGTTCTTGATGATGGATGGTGGGTGGTTGGATAGCTTGCGGATGTACATTGAGCAGTCAGTCGCAAGCTATCCGGGTACGTTACGTTTAATAGCGTACGTTAGCAGGACATTTTCGTGTCCTGCTCACGATTGAACAATAGCATTACTGCCCTCTACGTACGTTTGCAGGCAGAGGAAACTTAAAGGCCTCCCAAGAAACAAGAGGTTTAATCATTAGTCATTAGTTATATTAGGTTTAATGTTTTGAAATAATTAGGGTAAGAGTTAGGGTTAGGTTTAGCATTAGTGTGTGTATGTGTTAATGTATAATATATACATGTGAATAACAACAATAACATGCTAATAACAACAACAATTAAATTTGCTTATAATATTCTCTGTTTTTCAACCAAAATGTTTAAAGTACTAACCATCACTCTGTAATCTATTATTATATTTCCTTTGTCATTTTTTTTTATATTCAATTATATACATGTACTTTGAAAATATGTTCCATATTGATAATCACACAATATCTGCATTTATTATTATGCAATCATGGTTTAGGGTCTATTCATTCGGGTGTCACAAGAGAAGTATATCAACATTATTTTACACCTGAATGAGCACTGGCTATACTTCTGACAATGTTGTAAAAAGAAGTTTTCTCATATGAACCAGAAATAAAAATAAACGGTTCAGTCTAATAAATTTGCGCAATTTGAGTGCATAATCAGGCATCAATGACAATTGCATTGTTAAATATCTATTATTGATTTGAAATTAACATGAGCTTGTTGATCTATGACCTTACATCTGTACTCATGCACCCTCATTATACCTCCTCCCATACACACCTCGTGCACGCCACGGAAACACACGTACGTTCATTAAGCATCGCCGATTATCATTTTTTTTTTCTGCACTAAATTTTCATTTTCGTCTCAAGTATTTTGACGAGGAAAGAAATTGCACGATAGATGTTCAATTTTAATAAGAGAAAGAAAAGAACAAAATAATTTTGAAACATGCAATTTGGTTCTGTTTTTTTTGTTTGTATCCAGCATTGGGTGAAAGCAGTGTAGTTAAATTTCTGAAGGGCCACGAAAAACTTAATCGAACTTGCTATAGGGGTACAATAAATGAACAGTCCAGATACATTTACTGAACCCCTTTGTCTTGGGAGGATGCCATTCCTCTTCTTTATCAGTTTCTGGATATGCCACTGGAGTAATGCACAGCCACGTATAGGGTTAAAGGTCAACATGTTCTAAGCAATTATTGATAGTCAACAGAGAACATGAAAAATCGCCTGATTTCCACATTTATCCAATCCAAGCCTGAAAGATAATTGCGCAAATACATTTTCTCCTTTCAGAATCCATTGCGACTACACCATGAAGTGGAAGTGTCTATCCCCCAGATCGTCGGTGGCAGCCATCTTTATCTGCTTCATACCAATTTTGATTATCATCTTCGATTTGAGTGGCAACAGTCGGCAAGGAGAGCAGTCACTGGGGAGTCCAACTCACCGTGTTTCAGGTTCTCGCCATGTTTCACAGTTGACCCTGAACAGTTCACAATATCCTTTCACTCTCTTTCAGAGCAGATGGAGCTGCAAAAACGAGAGAGCAATCAAGACAAGAAACCTGGATTGCAAAAGCCGGTTGCCTGATGTGATCGGTATAGGTGCAAAGAAATGTGGAACCGGTGCGCTCGAATTCTTTCTTCGCGGGCACCCAGCTCTACACATAGCGGCTGTTGTAGAAGCCCATCAATGGGATTGGCACCCGACAAGGAGTATCGAAAAATATCGACAACTAATGCCCAGAACTTCACAGTATCAATTGACCATGGAGAAAACGCCAGCGTACTTTGTTGCAGACGACATACCTGCCGCGATAGCGCGGGACGTGTCACGCGATATCAAGCTCTTGCTTATCCTGCGAGACCCCGTAAAACGCGCCATTTCTGACTACACTCACGTCTTGGACGTGTTCCCGAAAATGGCGCGTAAACAACGGTACGGCACCAGGAGACGGGGAAGAGTACCAAAGTACCCTCAAGCAAACATATCTTACGTCATAGAAGACACATTTGAAACGAGCGTACTAAACGAAGACGGTACAGTGAACGACGATAATGCCATTATCTTTACAGGGTTGTACTCACGCCATCTCCGTAATTGGTTCAAGATTTTCCCTCGCGAACAGATACTTATACTGGATGGTGATTTGTTTTCTAAGAATCCCCTACCTCAACTCCAAGCCACCGAATCGTTCTTGGGGCTGCCAAAATATTTCGACGCCACCAAGATATACTTTGACGAAGCAAAAGGATTTTTCTGTCTGGCAATGCCTTTTAAGCACTGCATGGGAAAAGGTAAAGGCAGAAAGCATCCTGAAGTGGAAAGAGAAACTTTTAAGAAATTGTACAAATTTTACGAACCATATGATAAAGAGCTTGAGATTCTAACGGGAAGGAAATTTTCATGGATGAATCTTAACAATGATGAAGTCACTGGTTGATATTGTTAAACTTTTAAATATTTAAGATTGCAAGAAGCTTGACAAAATGATATATTCATGTATATTTATATATTTAATCGTTTATTCATGCATTTATTTATTTAGTCTTATTTGACCAGGGTGGTTTCACCAGTGACATCGACACTGCTTACAAAAATTCCCTACAAATTAACAAATTATGGACAATATAATACAAGATATTAACTTTATAAACAAAATTTGATCAAAATAAATGATTCGTTAGTCACATAAAACTATACAGGACGAAAAAATAGCCAAATTGTAACTCAGCCAGTATAGATCAAGTGTCAATCTTATTTTAATCATTTTTAAAATCAAACTCGGGTTCCATACACATTAGTGTAGTATCTGTCTCAATGGAAATCTTTAGACTTTTGAGATAAGAAATAATACAATCTTGAATAGTGTTAGATAATCATGTCATTCAAACTTGAATTAAATGCATCATAAGTTATATTAATGATAATATTCTATAGCATATATAAATATAATCTAAGCATCAATGTTGATGCAGCCATTTACTCTTCTTACATGAACAAATATTGAATATAATATAAATTCAGAGAAAATATCTATATAATATAGTATTAATGACTGCTTTGAGAGAAATAGTTGTTTTTATACGCTCAAGGGAAGGTTAGAATTGTGCTATTACCCGAGGCGTGCCGAGGGCAATAGCCCAATTGTAACCTTCCCGAGAGCGTATAAAAACAACTATTTCTCGAATATTAAAGCAGTCATTAATACTTTTATATGCCGGAGAAAAGAAGAAAAAAAATAAATAAATAATAAAAAAAAAAACTTTTGTCGACGATGGGATTCGAACATTTGCGTTCTAGAGGTTATGTAACTGAAGTCAGCGCCTTAAACCACTCGGCCAGCGCGCTCTGTCACCATATAATGTAGTTTTCTTTAATATATACATTAAAATGGATTGAAAACGGCTTCGCGTGGTAGATGCTTCGCCGCTGCTCCATTAAAGAGAAGGTTGAGTTCTGGGAAGAGGTTAAAAATAATTTGTGAGCGTTACTCATTCTTATTATGCAAGTGTGGAAGAACATCAGATAAGACATGTTCCCTGAAAAGCATGGCTCTTCAAATGCCTTCATATTCTAAATATGCATGTAACATCGTAAAAATCGGGGGGGGGCGGTTTTTTACGCCACGTGTTCGTGTAGTCCCATATACATCTTTCTGTGCAAGTGTTTGTAACTTTACCAAGACTTGGCCAAATTTCTTATCATTTTGATGATTCCAGAACCTTGCAATACACACAAATTCTTATATGCTAGATGATCAACCTTTTCTGGTCGGTTCCACACCGTTTCTTTCACAATGCAATCGCATGACCAGAACTCAACTTCATCTTTAAACGGGCCCTTCTTTTACTTTTGCAATGCATATTGGCACGAACTTAGATCAAGATCTATCGGCAGATGTTGTTTTTTTGTTTTTGGAAGTTTATTTTCGTCTTCATGTCAACAATGCAAGATAAAATTGTCGGTAAGATCGATCGAGATTCAATTGTATTGAAATTACCGACCAATTCTTCGCACACGTACGGCATCCTCGATCGCTCAGACCATTTTTTAACATGTAAACCTACGGGGTAACCATGGAGACTGACCTATTTTCCCAATAACCATGGTTATTGGGATTTTGAACTGTTTTTTAACCATGGTTACCGGGAATTTTCGGGAACAGTTAAAGTTTATGAATGCAATTTCGACCAATCAGATTGCTGGATTACTTAAGTGAGGTATATAATTTGTGATGGTGGTAGATATATATATACGGTTAAATCTTAAATAGAAGTAGTGAATGATTAGTGGATGTTACTTGTTAGATTAGATGGGTACCAAATCGTGCAATATGTAATCCTATCATAGCTTTTTTTTAATTATCTAAAATGATTACAATACTTAAATTATTTACGTTAATGTAACTCGATTTAACTGAGTAAAAATTTATTCAGCAAAATAAGTTAATTCTACTTAAAGGGGAAGTCCACCCTGAAATTAGGTTAGTTTTAATAGGAGTAGAAAATGAGAGAAACAAGTCAGTGAAAGTTTGAGCAAATTCCGATTAAAAATAAGGAAGTTAGGATTTTTGAAGTTGTGATCAATCAAACACAAATTGGCAACTCTATGACGTATCATGCGAGCTCAACTTCCATTTGCTCAGTACTAAAAAAATCTAAAATTTTCATTTTCCCTCAAGAAAAATTTCAACCATACATGCACCCTAAATATAATAATTGCAAATATGTTTCTATACTCCCCCTGCAAGGAACAAATATATATTCCGTCATCAATAACGAAGAAAACATGATTTTATGGAATATTATGCACAAAGCAAATGAAGGAGAGCTCGTATGATAAGTCACAGAGTTGCCAATTTGTATTTGATTGATCACAACTTCAATAATTCATAACTTTCTTATTTTCATTCAGAATTTGCTCAAACTTTCACTCACCTGATTTTCTTATTATTCTGCCTCTATCGAAACAAACTTATTTTGGGGGTGGACTTTCCCTTTAAGATGCCGTAGGTAGACTAATATTTACTTAATAAAAATAAGGCAATTCTTTTCCTCAATTTTATTGAGTTATTTCGACTATTATTTTGTTACAGTGTAGATGCGGGGTTAAATGCTGTTTATACTTAAGTGCTAGATCTAGACTAGACCTAGGCTCTGCTTAATAGCCCGAATGTTTCTGTCTCTTTCGTTCGTTAGCCTCTGAATTCTGATTTGGGTAGGATCGGCTCCTCTCTTTAGCCGACCCTACCCAAATCAGAACTCAGAGGCTAACGAACGAAAGAGACAGACAATTCAGGCTAGACTATGCTATGAATACTAGCCTAGGCTTTACAGTAACACACTGTAAAGTTATAGCTGCGTCAGCTCAGGAAACGCAGTCGCTTCCTGGTGGAGTGTTACAGCCGGCTAGCACCGGCGAATTGAAAATCATAAACCGCTCGACGAGATCTCATCGGCTTGGACTAGCAATGAGCCATTTGCGCAGTCTACAACATGTCCACATCTACGACCGATTACTATCGGTAATCAAGCTATGAACTGAACTTAAAATTATGAGATGTGCTCTAATGAAATAACCTACGGTAAAATCCTGATTGTTTCTAAAAATATTACCGTCGATGACTTAAATTAGAGTTCATTCAATCAGTTAACATTCTTTGGTCAGAAGAAAGAAAAGAGGATGGGGTAGGGGTTAACAGGGTAATTGTGACAATGCGGAGAGCCCCTCACTGCAATGACGAACACATCACAATCATTTCAGAGACCTTCACACAAAATGGATCTTTACTTACTTTTCTTGATATCATAGGGTATCACTTCGATGTCAATGTTCGCCTGAAGATTTTCTGTTTCACTGAGATTTACTTGACAAACATCTATTATAATAGAAATTCACTTAAAAGAAAAATGTTTCATTGTTTGTAATTGAATAACTTGAAAGTTGCAGTTCATACAACCGCCATTTTCGTGCTTAAATCGTAGGGAATTCTGGGAATGAAAAAAAAAATTTATGCATGACCTAATACATAAATTTTTTTGTCGATGGCCAATCAACAAACAGTAGTTGGCGTATTTTTTACGTCATTGCTCATGAATATTCATTGACCCTCCAAAACCGTCGTTCAAATCGGACAAAACCCCCATAATGCATCCAATGCAAAACCTATGGAATGTCAAAGGTCACGATTTTAGTTGGCCCTCTAGTCCTCCCACGGAGGACATACTGTGTATGATCGAATCTCTTTGCAAACTATACAACAGAGCACACTCTACCACATGGTACAGTACCATTTTAACTTTACATCACTGCAGTCAGACACGTACTGACATGAGTGTCGTGGCCGAGTGGTTTAAGGCCCAAGACTGGAGATGCGGAGGTCGAGGGTTCGAATCCCGACATGGCACTAATATCCTTTGCAATATATTAACCTGCACTTGCTAATCTCCACCCAGGTGTTAAATGGGTACCTGGTAGGATGCGACCGTAGTTGTTGGTCAAACAGCTTTTGAGCGTCAAGTAATGCCTGGCTGAAATGCTCCCCAGGGAAGTGGAGATTGTGCACACATTGTGTGCGGGCAAGTATTGAATCCAATGACCGGGGTAATAGTATATCTGTAAAGCGCTTAGAGACTTTTGTATTTAGCGCTATGTAAAAGCGGAATATTATTATTACTTTTCCTCATTCAACATATGTGTTTCTGTAAAATAAACAAAAAATTATACTAAATTATATCCAATTTGACATGGTTATCTCTCTCTCTCTCTCTCTCTCTTTCTCTCTCTAAGTGCCATATCGATTGACTTTTGCGATCATGCTGTTCCACAACCCTCGGTTTCTAGATTTCTGTATTAGTACCACCCCCAGTTCGTTCACTCCTCTCTCTCTTCCAGTAATTTCTGCAGACTGTCCATCCAAAGTATCCTCCTTCCCCTGCTCCTTCTTCCCACAATTTTCAAAGCAAGATTCTCTAGGCCTTCTTTACGTGTAATGTGACCCATGAACTTCAACTGCCTAATCAACATCTCACGTATCATTTTCCTTTGCACTCCAGCTCGACATGGTTATAATGCATTTAATGCTTATCACCTTTATTAACACTGGTACACACATTTGAATATAGCCGAAATGGAAAAATACCAAATACATTGCATTTCTCCTCATAATTCATTAAAATTATTAAATGTACAGATATTGTAGTTTATTCTAACTTATTATCATTATCACTATTAACATTATCATTTGAATATCTGACCCCCCAAGCAAGCATTACTGCATTACCATTTGCCATTAACATGTTTTTATTTTATTTAACAAGTTTTTTATGTGTGGAGAATTCAGTCCACATGAACACCTGATAATGCTAAATATGAATACAAATTCTATCATCAAATAGTACAGTCGGTTTAAAAAAACACACACATAAGACCTGAAATTCAGGAGTGTTGATCAACCACTTGCGTGAAACTATTGAGGACTGGTGCATATGGTTAGGTACACTTGGAGCCACTCTCTGTTTGTAGTGTCTAGCATCAGTCATTTTTTTCTCCACGTAAGCAGGCTAATGTTTACAAGCTTCATATCAATCATATTCTGTTTTTGTAATACATCCATACACAATGATCTGGAAATTGAATGACAGGCCTATATTAAAACACGGTAGCGGCACTAACTTCAAATCCAAATTGAAAAAAGGAACATCAACTCTCCTGTATCTCCTTTGTGTCCTGAAATGAACAGAACATGTACGGTTTTCAGTATCATCTTTGTTTGTGTCCAATCTATAATAAGACCCAAGGATTCAAACTTTATAAAACTAAATTTACTCATTAAATCATCATTACAAATCTGGTACGAACAATGATATACATGTGTACAACACTGTAGATGAATAATCCAATCAACATGTTATATACATTTATTTTTCAAGATATCGAGGAAATGGTACATGTAATTCATAAGATGTAATAAACACTTAAATGAAACTGAGATGACAGATAAACAATACATCGCACGTTTTCCTCATAAGTCATTAACAACGCTAGATTATAATTATATCTTTA